AAAAGAGGGATTTCCTCTGACTAGTATTGCTTTGCATTCAGTCTTTGCTGCAACAATGCTGGTGGAAAGAGGACATCAAGGCTTACCTTTCCATGGTCTTCCACGAGTGGACTAAGGTGTTCTCGTTTCCTTTCTCTTCTAAGCAGCAAGTATGAGTTTCTTACAGATGATACCATCTTCCAAGTCATACAATATTTAATAAAAATTACTGGAAAGGCATTTTATAAAGGGCAAATCTTCCCAGACTGTGCTTTGGTGATCTGGCCAACACACCTTGGACCACTTTCCCTCTACCCTCTCGACTTCGAGGATCATCAGCACCACCAATCCTAAACTTGTCCTGTCCCATGATGTTGCTGGGGCTGTTTATAGCCAACATGGCCCCTCTGAAGGTCCATCAGAGTCTCTGGGATCTTTCTGCCCCTGTTAATTCTTGGCCAGAAGACTTTCTTCGGGCCATGTGCAAGCTCCATTCCAACAACACTGCCAGTGACCTACGTGGGAAATCACTGAAGAACAAAGTGATTCTGGTTTAAGTGGCTTGGGGTGAGGCCTGGGTGTCAGGATTCAATTCAAAATGCCCCATGTGATTCTCATCTGTAGCCAGTCAAGCTTGCTTCTCTAACTTGATTGTCCTTCTAAGAGACAGCTCTGGAGGCTAGCAAGTCTCCTCTTTGGCTCTTTGGAATGAAGCCTGGCCTAGTGGGAGAAATTAGTCCTAATCCTGTCTTAGTACTTTTAAAAATAAAACTCAACCTTCTGTGTACCTCCAGTCACCAGTTTTGGGAAGTTTGTTCCAACGCAGATTGCTGGGTCCCACCTGGGATCTTTATTCCACTGGTAGGATTGGGAACTAGTAATCGGAATTTCTGCATATCCAGGCAATCCTTAGATTATACTCTAAAAGCATTGTTTTGCATGGCAACCTGGTGAGACTGTGTCTGGAGGTATGGGAGGAAACCTCAGGCTGTGGCCTGCCTCCCTGGCCTCCCAATTCCAGACTCGCAGCTCACCCAGCATTCAGCGCTGATGCTCACAGCACTTGTCTTCCCTGCTCTGCTGTTTCTTCCTGCCTCCCTGGAGCTCAGAGAGATTGATGTCCAGGACTTCCTGCCACCCATGTCCACCTGTCAGAGTCACTGCAGAGGGAGGAAAGGTGGAGAGAAAGCCCCAGGGTGTTGCCCACTTGGGAAAATATCCCAGATCTGTGAGGCAGAGAAAGCAGGCTCCAAACTGCTGAGGGTGATTGCTCTTAAATCTGTGAAAGCTGTGCCTCTTCCACCTGGGAAGCAAAGCATGAAAAGGTTTGTGTTAATAGTCAGGGCTAAGCTGGGCAAGGCTACTGTTCATGTCAGGACAGGAGGCGAACTAAGTCAGCCCAGGCCAAGGACCCACCAGTGTGTATGAGATCTGCCACTGGGAGGATATCTGATGGAGCTTCGGGAACTCCTTTGTCAGGGCTCAAGAACCAAAGCAAGGAGCAGCCCAGAGCAGACCAGGTTACAGTACCTGCCTTTATAAATGTGGTTCAGGTACGTGAATGGGCCAGGCTGGGCTAGTTCATAACACTGACTGGCAGATCTGAGAACCAGGAAGGGGTGCAGGTCAGACTGAGTCACATTAGGACCAGGACTGAGGGCTGCCTGGGCAGTAGCTCCAGCCAGTGCAAAGCTGGAACAGGGACAGACTAGGCCAGGCCAGGTTACAACATTTTCCGGTAAATACCAAGGTGAGATGGACCACACCAGACTGGGCTGTAGCACCTACCAGCACATGCCAGACCAGGGCAGGGATGGGCAGGGTGAGCCTAGTAGGGGAGTAACAAGGACTCCACTGCTGGGCCAGTGCTCAAACTGGCAAGCATGAGAGCTGGAACTGGGACAGACCAAGCTGGGGAGGGCTACCACACCTGTTGGCCTTCATGTGAACAGGGTTAGGGACAGAGCCAAACTGAGGTATTCGATTATATCCACTGGTACAGGCATGAGCCAGAATAAAGCCTTTGCCACAACATCAGCTGGTAAGTGCTGGAACTAGGGGCAAGTTCTCTTAAACTGGACTGCAGAACTACCTGGAGAGTGCAATATCCAGGGTAGGGAATGGGTCCAGTGGAGAGATAGTGGGCTCCTCTCTGATGGGCTGCAACTCCCACTGGTGACCATGAGAACCAGGACTAGGGGCAGGCCTGACTGGACAGGCGATGGCACCTGTTGGCATGAGTATGTGCTGGAGGGTGTAGTCAGTTGGGTTGAGTTAGGCTTCAGTGCCCAACTATATATACGAGATGTCACTGGGATATGGGCAGACCAGACCAGTCCACTGCACATGCTGGCAGGCACAGGAATCAGAGCTGGGGGCCAGCCCATGTGGGGATCATTGGGAGTCACTCTGACTGGGCTACAGCTCTCTCTGTGGTACATAAGGACCGAGTTGGACAGGGCTGGGCTGAGCCTTAGCACCCACTGGTTTGCTAAGGATGGAGGGCAGAACAAACTGATTAACTGCTCCAGGGAAGCTTGACAGAGATTTTCTGGGCCAATGGAGACTCTGAGGTGGACTATGACAGCCAATTGACCTTGGAAGGATTTTCACATCTGTGGAGCAGTGATAGCAGCATCTCAGAACTATGGAAACCACATGCACAGAACCCTCAGAAAATGCTCCACAATGGGGCCTCTGGGATGACATTGGGTGACAGTTCCCCATCACCCCGGTAATGTGGTGACTGGGAGGCTGGGCATGGTTTCTCCTCTTGTATCCCCATCTTCCCCATACACGGGAAGAAGAAAATATATAAATAATAGTCTCACCCACTCTCCCCTGATCTTCAATCCTGACCAACTATATAAACATCAAACATAAAATTTTAAAAAATGATCAGGGCTGGAATTAAGAGTAACTGCCTTTGCACTTCCACATTTTGCTCCAGTGCACATGTAGTTCAGGGCCCTCCCTCCCGCTGCAGTGTCATACCAGGTAGTTTCCATCCCTTAGACAATCCTATGTGTGTCTTGACACACACCGATTCGTGCTTCTCTCCTTCCTGCCAAAGCTGTGGAAGCTTCTGATCTCCTTCCTGTCTCTATAGTTTTGCCTCTTCCATAATTTTCTGTAGTTGGAATCACACAATGTTTTGAGATTGGCTTATTTCATTGAGCTTTTGTTTACCTTTGAAATCAGAAATAAAATCAAATGCTGTGTAACAGACATGACCAGCCACTAAACTTACAATTCCAAAATAGCAAAGAAAAAATGTCACTACTTGTTGCCATTGAAATTCCAGGAGCCTGTCCCTCTCTGAACAGCTTTCCCCATCCTGGCATTCTGGGTGTCCGAAACCTGGGATCCACCCTGGCTCTGGTTTGCCCTCAGATCCGTGTTGCACTTACTCTAGGCCACTTCCCCTCCTGTGGTACAGATGGCATCCTCTACAATCCTGGATTTCTTGGGCTTCTTCCACCTTTGGCCAAAGGCCCTCCCTCACTCCCCACTATGCCAACAGAGACAGATGTATGTTTGAGCATTATCTAGAGACAGGAAGTATAGCACAGAGGGTCTTTTGTATTTGCTACACCCAGTGTCCCAGGCCCTCCCGGGGTCACCACTGCTTGGCTCCCAGCTGTAGACTTTTTCTGGTGCCAGCTCTCCCCTGCACTACACAATGCTTTCTAGCAGCCTGCTTGTGCCAGGGACCCACAACCGTAAAGACAAGCTCAAGGCCCGCCTGCAACGTCCCATTCTCCTCACGTCTTGTTTTCAGATTGGCGCCTCTGCAGAAGAGTGACAGTATGGACAGCCTACCTCCCGCCCACAGGGCTGCGGCTGTGCTGGGAGCTGATACGATGGCATCCTGTGTTAGACAGCTACAGAGCAACACATGAGAAATGGCGAGGCAGCCCAGCCAGTGGCCTTGTGCTCAAAGTGGGTCCAGTTCTGTTGGCTTTGTTGTGCAGTATAAGGTGCACATTCTGCTGTGGTCCCATCATCTCCACCCTGCAATTTTGTAAACCATGACTCACAAAGAAAGCTTAGGACTATAAAAAATTACCAAACATAGACATGTGATCATGTAAATCCACACAAGGAAGCCAAGAGCCTCATAAAGAAGCAATAGTCTAATGAAGTGCAGGCCCAAATGCTGCTGGCAGACAGATCACTCAGCCTTTTTTTTTTTCCTAAAACTTAGCACTTAGGTTAAGAAAATGTTAGCTTTTCCCAAGAAGGTATGTGTTTGCTTTACTTGAGCCTAACTAAAAGGCTTATAATGCAAAGTGCCCGATTTATCAAAGTTTATCTCAAATGGTATTCCCCAGACCATAGGGTCAATAACTCCTGGGAACCTATTAAAAATGCAAATTCTCAGGGCCTGGTGCCATAGCATGACAGGCTAAGCGTCAGCCTGTGGCGTCAGCATCCCATATAGATGCTGGTTTGATTCCTGGCTGCTCCACTTCTGATTCACCTATCTGCTAATGACTTGGGAAAGCAGTGGAGGATGGCTCAAGTCCTTGGGTCCCTGCACCCATATGGAAGACCTGGAAGAAACTTCTGGCTTCAGATTGGCCCAACTCCAACGGTTGTGGCCATCTGGGGAATGAACCAGCAAATGGAAGATCGCTCTCTCTTTCTTTCTCTCCTTCTTTCTCTGTAATTCTGCCCTTCCAATAAAATAAACAAGTCTTGAGAAAACAATGCAAATTCTCTAACCCCATTCCAGACCTAGTCAATCAGATGTGTGGGAAGTGGGACCCACACAACTGTGGCCCAGTAGCCCCCCAGCTTCTCACATTTAACTCCCAGAACCACCTGGTGGGCCACTTGTCTACAGCTGTGGTCATTTGGGGAGTGAACCAGCAGATGAAAGATTCTCTCTTTTTCCTTGCCTTACAGACTAATAAGATTTTTTTTTTTAAAAATCAACCTAGTGCTTCCTTAGCATCATATATACTAAAAAATCAGCCTGGTTATTAATAGTTTATGTTTATTTTTGTTTCTTGTAGGCAGCTTCAAAAGATGGTCCATGACATCAAGAACAATGAAGGTGGAATAATGAACAAAATTAAGAAGTAAGTGAGGCTACATTTAAGGACATACTTCTACACAGTAAGCAGCCGGTGCTGAGTGGAAGAAGCTAGCATTCTCTGTGACACGGGGAGGGAGTGCTGTGACACAGCAGGGAGCGCTGTCTCACGAGTGGCCGGAGTCCATGGTGGGCAGGCCCGCATGCTGGCGCCATGGAAAGCGAGTGTGGTGGTGTCCAGGGAGTTTTGTTGTTTCTTCTCACTGCGGGAAAGGTGAGCTATGTGCAGTCAAGGTGTCTTATTACAAAACATAGCCTAGCTTCTTCAGGGCACCGTGTCTGTTTTCCCTTTTTGAATTTCTACTTTTTCCAATTCTTGCCTTAAAATTGTGTTTTAAGTTGCCACTCAGAGAAAGAAAGATAGAACCCTAAATCTCACTGTGCACCCTCAATTCTGTATCCCACAGCCCATCACACAGCAGCCACAGCATTCAGTGTTTTAGGATAGCTTCTCATTATAGCATTCTGTCACTGGTCCAAAGAATTTGACAAACCACCTTTATTCTGAGCCTGGAAAACACAGCCCCCAGACTCACCCAGGATGAGGTGGAGCCCTTGGTTCACAGTGACGTGTGATGATGCTCTCCTAAGCAAAGACAGCAGTGCCTTTAGAAGGAGGACACACAGTCCAGCACGCTGATTCCTCAAAGAGGGACTTCAACAGAGTTTTCATTGGTCCATGGCTGCATAAGGAAGGAATGGCCCTCAAAAATTAGGGATTAGTCCCAAGTTGCACATGGAAGACCTACTCCACCAAGTTTCCCAGGTATTCTTTCCTTGGAGCTACCTCACTCTCAATGCTGAAGTGTTAGGGACTGGTTACATCTAGCCCCTACTGTTTTATTCCTGCCCTGTGTTCAGTGGCTAACCATCCTTGAGTTCCATCATTTATTCTGGGATGATAATCACACACATGAAATGTTAAACTTTCTTTTCTTTTATGAAATAATGATAAAGGCAAATATTAGATGGCTTGTGTTTTTCGAAGTGTCACTGTTCTACAAACCAACCAGGGTATTAGACCACTTTGAGTTTTGTTATTCTTCCAAACAATATCTTGCAAAGTAAAAAATCTCACTCTCTGTAGACTTTAATATTAATCTAATGATAGCATCATCCCAGCCCACTTGGCTGACTTGTGATAAGAACTGAATTAACAGATAGGAGAACGTTTGGGGCTGGAAGACAGAATTTCCATGCAAATACTCTTTTTCTTGCAATAATAACACTTCTGGTTTGGAAAGTTTGCAAAGTTCATTTGTGTGCATGTATATTTAATAGAACATGAATTTCTCTGCTTTTTTTTTAAGAAATGAGTTATATGAATAATAATTACCCTATATATCACTACTACAAAAGAATATGATATTCTTATAAATAAAGGCTACTGGATATAAATTGTATTTAAATTTTAAATTTCATTAATGAATTTTTAAGACTTATTTATTTGAAAGAGTTAGAGAATGGGAGGGATAGATCTTCCATCCTCTGGGTCACTCCCTAGATGGCCACAATGGCTATGGCTTGATATGATGGGAGCAAGGAGCTGGAAGTTTCTTACCCACATAGGTAACAGGGGCCCAAGCACTTTAGCCATCTTCTACTGCCTTTCCTTGTTCATCAGCAAGGGGCTGAATTTGAAGTGAAGCAGCTGGAACAGAAGATGGTGCCCATACAGGATGCTGGCATTGCACATAAACGCTTTACTTGCTATACCAAAATGATGGCCCTGAAAATTGATTCTTAAATAAAATAGGTAGTTTTTTTAAGATTTATTTTTATTATTTTTTCATTGGAAAGGCAGATATACAGAGAGGAGAGACAGAGAGGAAGATCTTTCATCCGATGATTCACTCCCCAAGTGAGCGCAACGGGCCGATACTATGCCGATCCAAAGCCAGGAGCCTCTTCTGGGTCTCCCACGCAGGTGCAGGGTCCCAAAGCTTTGGGCCGCCCTTGACTGCTTTCCCGGGCCACAGGCAGGGAGCTGGAAGGGAAGCAGGGCTGCCGGGATAGAACCGGCACCCACATGGGATCCTGGGCGTGCAAGGCGAGGACCTTAACCACCACGCCAACGCGCCGGGCCCAATAGGTAGTTATTATTAAAAATAATTTGCTACAATAATATAATTTGCTGTAAGCTTTACTCACCCAGTTAATGGAAATAGGGGTGCTGTCAGAACTTATAAAAAGATCAAAACTGGGATTTTTTTTTAAATGTAATTTTTAATTTCCATCTTTAATAAATCCAGAATTGTGACCACCCAGCACATTTTCTAGATGCATAGAGATACTGAAGTAGTTTTGAGAGCACTGTAAACAGCTCAATTTCTAACTAAGCTAAATATCACGATCTTGAGACACTGCTCACATGTTTGGCATTTTAAAGATGGTACAAAAATAACTCGAGCCCATCTTACAGCTACGGTGCTTATGGTGCCTAAGTTTCACACTGCTGATTAAAACATCTGCAAACCACTGAAATGTAGCTTGTCATACCTTTCTAACCCCTCAGCACTGTCTACCTTGAACCTTTGAACGTAGCACCCACTACAATTCCAACCTCTTGATCCCTCAATTACCCAATATAGCCACATGGTGTGCTGGAGACCTGGGAGTGATGGGAAACATGACATGTGGCAGCCTGAAGCAGGTCATTGTTAGTTGTCTGTCTGTTATCCCTGTATCAGCTTATAGGATTGTCCTTGAAGACAGCTGTCCCCCCACTCACCCTGGATCTGATGGTTCTCGTCCACAGGCTGAAAGTCAGAGCGCCTCCCAGTGTTCCTCGAAGGGACTACGCTTCAGGTAAGAGCATTTGTAGGATACCTGACTATTTTCATATTTACAGTCATGTCCTCACTGTGAAAGAGAAATAAGTTCCACTTATCTGGAGACAAAAGGTACCTATCCTAACTTCAGGGAATGACCCAGTCTACCAGGCATTTGATGATTGTACAGCCATTCAGACATCAGTGTACTCATCTATTTATCAAATATTGAAAAAACATCTTTCATGTACCAGGCAATAAAAGCTATAAAGTAAAAGTACAGTGCTAAACAAGTAAAGTCTAGAAGGCTGAAGTCTAAAGTGGAATATAGATAAGCAATTACAATTCAATGTGACAGAGAAAAGCACAAAGTTCTTGGTAAGTGTGTAGGGCCTTATCTAATCTGGGGAGTTGGAGAAAGGAGAGCTTCCACCATAAAAGCTATTGGAACAGAAGAGCCTAAAGAAGGAAATTCTTTTTTTTTTTTTTGAGGGGTTTTTTTTTTAGATTTATTTATTTTTATTGAAATAGCAGATTAGGTTTATGGAGAGAAGGAGAAACAGAGAATGATCTTCCAGCCACTGGTTCACTCTCAAAGTGGCTGCAACAGCCAGAGCTGAGCTGATCCTAAGCCAAGAGCTAGGAACATTTAGGTCTCCCATGTGGGTGCAGGGTCCCAAGGCTTTGGGCTGTCCTCGACTGCTTTCCCAGGGCACAAGTAGGGAGCTGGATGGGATGTAGAGCAGCCAGGACACAAAGCAGCGCCCATATGGGAACCTGGAACTTGCAGAGGGAAGATTAACTAATTGAGCCATCACACTGGGCCTGAGAAGGAAATTCTTGATGGTGAGGAATGAATCATCCTCTCCAAGTTTCATCCACAGCCTTATTCCAACTAGGATCAATTTTGAGAGGGAGAGGGATTGGTGAGATTGGTAGTGTTTGGAGGCAGTGATAACAAAGTAAAACATCTGACACACTTTCCTAGAGCAGACATAGGAGGATAGGTCTACAGTCTCCTACAGCAGCACTGAGTATGATAGACAGATGTGTAGGCCCTTGGTGAAAACCACGGGGCTGCAGACAACAGTGCTTCATGGGCTGCAGGGGACAGATAAAATCAGGTCACAGCCTTCAGGGATGGTCACTGATGTTCCAGGCATGGCTCAAGGTTGCAGTGAAATGGCCACATCCTCCTGGACTCACACTGGGAACAGAAGTCTGCTCCCCTGTCTGCTGGACCACCATTTTCTGTAGTCCACCAGGCCTCACCCAGCAACCTTGTTGCTGGCTTGTTGCTCATTAGGGGATTCCTGGGCAATTTAGAATGAAAAAAAAAAAAAAAAGGAACTCTGCTCAGCTACGTAAAAACAGATGTAATGTTCCCTTCATGTTTAAGAAGGAAAGAGAGGGAAGGAGAGAAGGAAGAAGAGGGGAGGGAGAAAAAGAGGAAGGAAGGGAGAAAGAGATGGAGGAAGGGAGTTAGCTGACTAACCTGTTAAGCAGATAAACACATTTGATGGGAAAAGTATGGCATCATGGCATCTTGGATAGAAAATTATTCCATGCCCAGCACAGTAGCCTAGTGGCTAAAGTCCTCACCTTGCATGTGCCAGGATCCCAAATAGGCAGTGATTCATATCCCAGCTGCTCTACTTCCCTTCCAGCTCCCTGCTTGTGGCTGGGAAAACCTGCACCTGGGAAGACTCCTGGTTCCTGGCTTTGGATTGGCTCAGCTCTGGCCATTGTGGCCACTTGGGGAGTGAACCAGAGATAGAAGTTCTTTGTCTCTCCTTCTCTCTATAAATCTGACTTTGCGATAAAAATAAATAAATCTAGGAAGGAAGGAAGCAAGGAAGCAAGGAAAGAAAAAAAAGAAAGAAAAAGAAAGAAAGAAAGAAAGAAAGAAAGAAAGAAAGAAAGAAAGAAAGAAAGAAAGAAAGAAAGAAAGAAAGAAAAAGAAAGAAAAACGAAGGAAGGAAGGAGGGAAGGAAGGAAGGAAGGAGGGAAGGAAGGAAGGAAGGAAGGAAAGAGTAATTGGAAAAGAAAAGAAGGCTCCCCAGAGGCTAGCACTGTGGTGCAGTAGGTTAAGCTGCCACTTGGGACACTGGCATCCTATACTGAAGTGTAGGTTTGAGCTCCAGATGCTCTGCCTCCTCCCCAGCTTCCTGTTAGTGCCGAAGCAGTGCCCAGGGGAGGATGGCCCAGTGCTTGGAGTCCCTGTCACCCACAAGGAGATCTGGGTAGACTCCAGGTTTCTGACATGAGTTTGCCCTGCTCTGGATGTTACAGCCATATGGAGAGTAAACCAGCAAATGAAAGATCTCCATCTCTTTCTGTTACTCTGCCATCCAAATAAATAGATACAACTTAAAAAATAAATAAAAAGATCTCCTGAAGCCATATAGTCCAGACTCCCATCTAGGGCATAAACTCTACCGCCCACCATGTGCCCCAGAAAAGAGGATCAGTTCCTGCTAGAGACACCTTCTGGGGTAGCCCCCCAAGTTGGCCTGGCCCAGCAATGGTGAGCAGCCCCAGATGGATATAGATGCCATCCATTTCCTTGTGGTTTCCTGGGTTTATCCTGTCAATACACCAAGTTTTTAAATTACAGGGAAGTAGTGTCAGAGCAGCCGTTTGAACGGCTCTCCATCCAGAATAAACATGTGCAGGTGCTTCAACTCTCCCACAGAGTCTGATTCATCACAAACATTACAAGAGCGTGTCCATGTGCAGTTCACTGTGCTGGATACAGAGTGGGGAGCACCATGTAGTCACCGGCCTGCAAGTGTCTCGTAACGGGTGAAGAGCCAAGCAGGAAAGGAGACCACAAGCGAGCGCGTGAGATCCACGAAGCATGGTCCTTGCTGTGCAGGGCAAGGGCAGGTGCAGTGCCAGGGAGTCAGTGGCATAGGGAACAGCTGGGGTGGTCAGGGGAGGTCCCTGAGGAGGGGACACTTCATTGCAGTCCCAGGAGATGACTGTGTAGGATGTGACTTCCCAGAGAACCCAAGCACGTTGGGGAAGCTGCTTAGGAATGTCCATGACCCCATGTGTTGGACTCCAGGACAGGCCTCTCTCCTGGTGGCCCCTCTTCCTCCTCCCCTGCCTTCTGCTTGTCCATCCCCTCCCCCAGCATTCCCCTCCCCCTGGAATTTCTATTTGGCTGAAAGGCAGGGAGCAGCCTTGTTTCTTGTGCTTTGGCCTGACCCACACATCCAGGGATCCTCTCTGGCTCCTCCTCTTTCTCATCCTCTCTCAAAAGAAAGAAAGAAAGAAAGAAAGAAAGAAAGAAAGAAAGAAAGAAAGAAAGAAAGAAAGAAAGAAAGAAAGAAAGAAAGAAAGAAAGAAAGAAAGAAATTGATCTCGGAATCCCGTGGATTGTGTCTCTTGAGTGTCTTTCCAACACGTCTTCCTTCTGTAGCTCCAGGGCTGCAGCCAGGACCCTCATCGTTGCTCGTCAGTTGTAAATCCTAATTCCACGTGGTAAATCCTTGCCAGAAGTTAATCCTGATCCCACGTGACCCTCTCAACCTCACCAACTAATTGTTGTGAAATAGAATTATCTTCCTGTCACACTTTGCTTGAAGTCTTCTCACAGCTGCGTATCACTGATGAGGCATTGCAAACCCCTGAGTCTACATTCAGGGTCCTTCCATGTGTGGCCACTAACCAGCTGTGTAACCTTGGACACTGTACCTTCTTCATTCATCAAGCACACCCATCAAGCCCTCTGGGTGCTAGCTGGTACCCAGCACAGCCCAGAGCCCTGGGATGAAGTGGGTCTCTCTGAGCCTTCCCTGGCTTGGGGAATCTGCATGTGTCCATCTCCTTGAGGCTCAGCAGCACTGGCTTCCCCCGCTAAGACCCCTGTTCTCCCCTGAAACCCCCTTCAAGTCTCAGAATTGCTGGACTTTTTATTTCGTCTTTGTACTTCACCTCTCTTGGAATGCAGAAATGCCACCCAAGGGGAGGGTGAAAGACAGTCCAGGCCTCTGCTGCCCTGAGTATAGGGCCCAGCCTGGCAGCGCCAGCGCTTCTGGGGAGTGTGTAGGGTTTGGCCTGACAGTATCAGCTTCTGTGGGGAGCATGTAGAGCCCCGCTTGGCAGTACCAGGGTCTCCAGGGAGCGGGTGAGGCCTGCAGGATTTTAGCCCTATCTTGGAACCCCTAGATGACAATTTGCACTGTAGCAAAGGCTCCCAGGGAGGGACCAGGAGGTGTTGAATGTGTAGTAACCCGGAGAATTCTTGGTGTCAGGTACTCTCTCTGCACTGTTTCTCCTGAATTGAAGGGCTCGTAAACCTCCGCTTCCCCCTCCATCCTGCTTCCCAACAAATCCACTGAAATTCCATGATGGCCTTGCCTGTCCTGCCCGCCATGCCATCACCCTCCCAATTTCCGGAAAGGCACCTTTGGGCACCACCACCATGGGCACCACCTGCACTCAGTGCCCCCCACCCCAGGCTGCTTCCTCCACCCCCTCCTAGCACTCCTCTGCCCCAGCCACCTTCCCCAGCTGCTTCCCCTGAGCCCTGTGGTCCCCAAGCAGCTGCATGCCCCGGGCCTCAGGGTTCAGCTCCAACAGCAACTCTTGACCCCAGACGACCTCAAGGGCCTCAGTGGCATTTAATCCTGCTATGAGTGCCATGCCACACAGATGTTATTGTCCCTGTTTGACAAATGATGAAAACACATCCCAGACACATTGAGGAGGGGGCAGACAGTGGGAGTGAGGGGTGGGGAGGTCACCTCAGGGTTACATGCCTCCTGTCCCCTTGCTTATATTCCTGGGGCACTTTCTATGATCTGGAAGGTTCCACAGCCTGGGATGCTTGCTCCAGAAGCTGCTTTCAGTCCCTGAGCCAGCAGTTCAAGTCTGATGTTTGACCTGGAAGAGGGTGGGGAACGAATCTGCATGGCTGTCACAGAAGCTCCTGGTCCCCTCCCCCATAAACCTCTCAAGGATCAGACTCAGCAGAGCCTCTCTTGCACCCTTGGGCCCAACAGCCTACCCTGGAAGACCCCCTGAGAGCTCAGCTTCCACATTTTGTCCTCTGGCCCCTGAGGTCATACAGGAAGAAGGGCAAAGCAATTCTGATTTTTTGTTGCTATTTTAAAGATGTATGTATTTATTTGAAAGAGAGGCAGAGTATTTTAAAGCTTTAGAGGTGCTAGAAGATGACCCAATTCAAACTTCTCACTTTAGAGATACCCAGAGACCAGAGGGGCCAATTGATCCCCTGGGGTCACACAGCAAGGTGTGAGGAGCCTGACCCCTTCACTGTGCACCCAGGCCTCAGTTGGTAAACCCAGCAAGGGGTGCATAGGCAGAGGTCTCCGAGAGACTTACATCCTGGGCTCCTAGCCTCGTCCCCAGCACCCTGCCTCCCAGCTGCACCCCTTTCTTCCCCATGGGACTGGCCACCCGCTGCCTCCCCCACAGCTGCTGCGGTTCTGCTTTCTGTTCCTTCCTTGCCTCGGCCCCACACCACCACAGCTGGCTCACCTTCCTGCTTTCCTCCCCTCTGGGTCCCGTGGTGGTCTGTCCGCCTGTTCTCTGTGAGCCGCCACTAGCTCTGTGCGGGAAGAAACTGGTAGGGCCCAGGGTCCGAGAGCAGGATCAGGACCACCAATGAGGCTGTGTGTCAGAGGCCGCAACATGGAGCTGTGCCCCAGCCCTACATTCATCCTGACCCTCCCAAGCCTTCCTGCTTGTCCCTGGCTGGAGCTCCCAAGTCAGCAGCACTTGTAGTTGCTTTGATCCCCAGAGGACAATCCCATGACCTCTCAGCGTGGCGCGGTGGTTCTGGGCGCACCTGTCTCCTGCCTGTTAGTTACACACTGCTTATGGGACTTGCACACAGGCCCTCTCTGAGCACCGAGGAGGCCGCCCTCTATGAGTCCTCTTCACTCTTCCAGGCCACAGCTAACCAGCACAGCTGCCAGCAACCTTTCCCTCAGAGCATGCTTCCTCCGAACTTCCCCAGCACCTGGCAATGACCCCACGAGTGGGTGCCTGCCTGTCCCAGGTGCTGTTAGAGGCCCTGACTGGCCCTCCGTGTGGTGGTGGCCACCGTCCTTCTGCCTCTAGGTCTTTTACTTCCTGCACACGGTCTGGTTTCAAAGAGGTGGGACTTTGGAGTCAGGAGTCCTGGAGGCCTGGGGCAAACTGCTGGCTTTGTCTTCCAAATGTTGTGTAAACTTAGGATGGCTTTGTTCCCGGCCCTGCTGAGTGTGGGTGAGGCAGAACAGCCAACACTCCCTGGGCCCTTGCTGTCCTCCTAAGTACTTCTCTTAGGTTCTCTCAAACTCTGAGATAGACCCTAGTTAAAACATCCTGAGGAACAGAGGGCAGACGCGGGCAGGGCAGGACCAGCATTCTGAAGCGCAGCCCCCAGGGTGTGCCGGCTTGGAGCAGATCCCGAGATGGGGGCCGTGGCCCTCCTCACGGAAGGGGAGCTGTCTCCCAGCCCTGGTGCTGTGCCCACAAGCCAGGGAGAACTGCTCAAAGCTCAAGCCAACTGAAGGCAGTGGCTGCCCCCACTGCAGGGTGTGGGATTACAACACGGAAAATGGAGTGTGGTTCTCAAGCAAGGCAAACGACAAGTAGAAAGGAGGCCTGACGGAAGCCCGCCCAAAATTAAAGCACCTGGGACAATCTTAACTTGAACACCCCCTCCTAAGGATGATATGGCTCAGCCATCCACATGTGTGCCTAGTAGGTCACATGAATCTCAGACAAAAAATAGGAGACAGGCACACTTCTTTGCCTTGATTCACAAGTGAGGGAAATGAACTGGAAACGATAATATTGGCCCAACATCAAGTGGCTAGTAAAGATCAAAGGTGGGATTTGCACCCCTAGCTCCTGGTTCTAAAGCCACCAGCTGTACCCTTTGGAAAACTCCCCAAGAGACTGGAAAACAGCCAGTCCTTTGGACTGTCACCCTTTCTAGCCCAGACTGTCACCCCTTCCAACCTGCAACTCTGTGGCTTTGTGAGTCTGACACTTGGGAGGGACCCTCAGGCCAGAGGATGAGTGCTGCTGCGGGTGGGGGACTCTGTCATGCAGCCTCAGCCAGGACCCACCTCTGCCTGACCTCCTGTGCCAGGCTGCCTGCATTGCATGTTCTCCTTGGCCTGGTTCCACCCGACTGCCCAGGCAAGGGCCTCGTGAAAGTTCAGTGGCAGCAGGGCAGCCCAGCCTCCGGCCCAGGCCCACACATAGCAGATTTTGCAACCTCTCTCAGGCCGTTTCCTTTCCTGTAAAACAGAGGTCAGTGTTTCCTTTCCTGTAAAACAGAGGTCAGTCCTGTAAAACACCCTGGTCAGTGTTCTGTTGTAAGGATATATAAATGACATTTACAACGTGGTCTGGCACCCAGCACACAGGTTGTAGCCAGCAAGCAGAATTACTTATTGTCTAGACTTTCACTCGTGGAACCCATTTATTAGCTCATACTTTTGCTAATGCATGGATTACAAATGCAAGGATGAAGGGGAATGGGCTGGGGACTGCCTGATTCCTGAAAGTCGATGACACAGGAAGCAAGTCCTGTCACATCACTGTGAGTGGGCATGGCGGAGTGCAACAGGGCAGTAATGGAAGAGTCAGCAGGAGCATGGGGAGGCATCTGCAGGTGTGGATAAGGAGCCCCAGTTCAGCTTTTGGGAGCCACTTATGCCTGTTGAGGAAGGGGACCGTGTGATGCAATGCCTTATCATAAGGGAATGGCTAGAAACGGTGGAACGGAGGACTGCAGAGGAAAGAGGCAGAGACGGGGCAGTTGGTGAGGTGGCTCCTGCAGCTAGCTTCCAAGTGAGGGCTAGGGGGAGAGGCGAGGATCCGTAGGCACCAGTTAGTGGGACCAGGGAGTGTTTAGTGAGAACTTCAAAGGTTTCTGTTTGAGTGGCTGAGATGGGCAGGCCTCGCTTGCCCTGGGATGGTCCTAGAAGCTCATTCCCTGCCATGTCAGGGAACTGCCCGGGGAAGGAGTTTTCCTCACCCCATTCCTTTCTTGACAAACCCCCATGAGCACACCATGCTGCAGTTCCCTGTGTCAGTGAACCCAAGGACAACACATTTCTCAGCTGGTATCAAAGTTTGACCCACACTAGGCTTGCAGTATGCAGCTCCTCCTTAGCGGGTCCTGTTCCCCCAGGACTCAGGGTTGCTGCTACCGCTGTCTAAATGTGGCCACCCTGACCCTAAGCCCTGCTTTCTTCCCCCATGTCCTTCCTTGGGCTCTGTGCAGAACAGGAGTCTGCAATCCACTGTGGCAAGACAGAAATGGTGCTGAGAGATGCTGCTGGGGTCCCAGGGAGTCCAGGAGCCATCCACTGGGTGCAGCAGGACAGGCAGGGAGCTGTTGCAGCTGCTGTGCCTGATGGGGCTGTAGTCACTGATTTCCTGCCCAGCAGAGTGCATCCCATTGACTCCTAAGGTCAGGGGACAGGATAAAGAATAAAAGCTTCCACTCTGTAAATGCTTGCAAGGACAAGGAGCAACCATTCCTTCGGGCACTCATGATGAGCCAGCACTGAGTTGTTTCATTCTCCTGGCTCCTCAACCACATAGGACCACACCCTGTCACATCCACTTCCTGGATCCCTGGCAGAGGCCTGGACAGGGGCCTGCCCCGAGCTCAGACAGGGGTCAAGTGCACCACTGCTCACCTCACTGGGCCTTCTCTTTATGCTTTGAAAATTAAATAGGAAGCAAAAAGAGATAAAAGGGAGTGGATAAACAACTCTAAAAATTGTTCAAGGCCAAGGTAGCTGTATCAGGAGGCCCAGAGGAAGAAAAAGCAGGTGCAAGAGTTTGGACAAGCAGAGCCAGTCAGTGCCATTCACGCCTGTTCCTTCTATTCCCCACCCCCTGTTTCAGAGAGCCCTGCTGACGAAGAGGAGCAGTGGTCAGACGACTTTGTGAGTGTTGGCTCCAGTAACCGGGTGGGTAGAGGGTTGGGAGGGTCGAAGGGAGACTTCTGAAGAAGCTTGGGTCTGAAGTACAGGCTGATGTCAGCTGCATGTCCCCAGAAAGCCAGAGACCAAAAGGCCCCCAATCACAATGGCCGGCTCGGCCAGCAATCGGAGCCGGGCCAAGAGCATCACACGCCACACCATACTTGCTCCCCTGAGGGACACTGTCATTAGTTGCTTTGGTCCTAGGACCTAGAAAGATATGAAGATATGGAAGCATTTCCCCATCTGTTGATTAATGCTTCTGCCCTCCCCTTGCCCATGACCCATCCCAGCCCTAACTAACCAGCTGGCACATCAGTTCAGAAACCAGGCATGGGAAGGCAGCTACCTGCGGGTCCAAAAGTCAAGCCCAGGCCTTCAGCTCTCAGAGGTGTTAGAATATTGGCATAGATCTGGGGGCCCACAAGGAGCAAGGGGGACCAGGACACAATGCCCCTGGAGGCAGAGAGTCCCAGAAAGAACTGCCAGCCTCCCCAAAGTAGCTCTGCAACCCATAGGTGCTCTGCAGCCACTTCTGTCTTAGACAAGAAATCTAAAAACTTCTCTTCACCATAACTATTCCCCTTGTGGATCAAATTCATCCAGATGTTAGGTTGTTTCCATATGTGAGTTTCAGATCTGGAAAGAATCCAACAATACCCCAGACATACCCATTTCACAGATCAGGAAACTAAGGACAAATACAAATAATATATCCACCATCATTTGGTGACTTAATTGGCCAGTGACATAAGAACCTAAGACTCAGTTGCCAGCTGTGTATACCAGCTGGGGGAGTATATGGTGTCCTAGGAGATAGCAGTTCTCTTTTTTTCAACACTAGAAAAGAAAAAGACAAATGAGTGTACAAGGTCACCTCTTTGCTGGTTCCCTGGGTGCTGCAACTGCGCCTCCTGCTGGTGTCTCACACCAAACGCACCAGGCCACTCTGCAGCAAAGGGAATGAGCTGGTTGGTCTACATCTGGAGAAAGAAGACAATAGAGCTGCTAGCTAGATTTAAAAGAGCACAACGGGTGGGCACTGATAAAACTCACATTAAGAGCTCAGAGACCAGGGAACGAGCTATCCCACGTGGCCAGCTCTAAAAAAACCGAGTGAAGCCACTCCATATTACTCCCTTCACATGCATCCACTGTTTGCAGGATGAAATCCAGCTGTGTTGCACAGACTTCTGGAATCGCCTCATGGAATCTGTTATTAAATCGCAAACAAAAAACCGGCCAAAGAACAAGTGTCTTGTCCAACCCCTGCAAAGTCACATGAGCCACACAGCGTGGCAGACGGCATCCACGGTCATTCAAACAGTTGCACACAAGCCCGTCTGGAAAACACACATGCTGACCCCGTCACTTTGCCTGCCTCTGAGCGGAGGAAGCCAGAGCCTGGGAAGCTTAGCTTAGCTCGGTGCCCCTTAGCTGCTGGCACTTCTGATGATGCCAATGTACCTTCCTTCACATGGACCAAACTAAAATTCATATTCAAAACCAACACAAAAGAGAATGGACTCTAGGTCCACAAAGCCAGCTTTGCTTTTAACAAGAAGAAACACACCCAATCTCATGTCCTCCAAGGTGTCTACAGGCCACACGGGCCATCTGCCTGATCTCCCTCACCCCTCTGGTCAGCAGGTAGATCTGGCAGGCCCAGCTGGCTGAGCAGTGTCGCCTTCCTGTCTCACTGCCCCATGTGTGTTCCTCCTGAGGCTGTACACTCGGTGGCAGAGGACAACCTTCCCTCCTGGGCAAGGATATACGAATAGCTGCTCCTCGCTGCCCTTCCCCTGGTGCAAACTTCCAAAGTGAGGCACTGCACGTGGTAGTCAGCTTTCTTAATACTAACACTGAACTAGTACTGCTACTAATAATGACGAGTCTGCATGTCTCTGGGCAGCTCTCCCCTCCCCGGCATGCCCACTTTCCCTCAACAATCAGTGAAGGGAATCCACTGGTGGTTGGGCCTTCCTAGAGCTTCTCTCTTTCCAAATGGATTCCCACACCTTCTACTGCTCTGTGGATGGGCAGGGCTTCACCCTCCTTGGCTTTCAACAGCTCACACACTTCCCAGGGTAGTGTATGGTGGTTCAGACCTTTAGCTATGCAGGCAGAGGGGCTGGCTCAGCTACCTGACAATGCAAGGTGCTCCTGGCCCAGCCAGCCGCCTGACAGTACAAGATGCCCCTGGCCCAGAACTGCCTGACAGTACGAGGTGCCCCTGGCCTAGCTTTGGCTTCCCCACCAGCGGTCTGGGGACCGCTGGAGGCAGCACTTATCCTGCGACTGAGTGTGGGGTGTGCATTTGCAGGACAGCGACTATGAGAACCCGGACGAGCACTCGGACTCAGAGATGTACGTGATGCCCGCTGAGGAGAATGGAGACGACAGCTATGAGCCACCGCCGGCTGAGCAGGACACCAGGACCGTTCACCCAGCCCTGCCCTTCACCAGGGGCGAGTACGTAGGTGAGGCCACCCACAGACCCTGGGCATTTGGCCTTTCCTGCTGGTTGGACAGGGTAGGCTGCAAGCACAGGTGGTGGGCACTCCCCACCTGCCAGCAGGTCATCTGGGGCCCAACTCACAGCTGAGTGTGCCAAAGCTACAATGCTTTTCCTCTCACTACTCCTAAAACTAGGATTGTTGGAAATAGGCAAAGACAAATGGAAGGAGTGCAGCTGGGGATTGCTCCCCACCTCTCCTGCCTGTGTCGTCCCATGAAAAATCCACCCAGCCATGAGTCCTCACTTCTCTAAGGCCTCCTGCATACAAGGTTCTGGAATTTTCTTTAAGAAGTCCTTACAGAATTGCCGTGACCTTCAAGGATGCCAGGGTCAACTTAACATCCTTTCTATCTTGTGCTACCTGCCCCAGTTGGAGTCCAGATTGGGTTTTTACCTGCAGCTGAAGGATACAAGTGAGGGACTCTGAGCCTAACATTAACCTCATTCATTGAATGGACACAGGTTGGGTATGGACTCTAGGGCTACATGTGCCCTTTCATGTCCATCCAAAAGAAGCCTGTGTGCCAGCTTGGCAGGTGTCAAGGGCCCTCAAGGAGGAGAAGCATGGGCCTGTGGGTGTCCGTGATGCTGGTGTCTGCACGGAGCATTCCTCCCAGGGAAGACCTCACTGCCACTCACTGCCTCCTTGCAGGACGCTGGGTGTTGCTGGTCGCTTCTACCTCCTGTGCACCTGAACTGCGCTAATGCTAAGTATTCAGCAGTGAGCTGGGACTCTCCCTAGCTTCCACCTGAGTGCATTACAGTCGCAGCCTCCAGGCAGTCTTGTGAAAGAAGGATTCATCCCCACTTGACTAAGGAGGAAAGAGTCACTCTGAGGCACAGACTGCACCAATGTCCTAAGCACGTGGTGCAACTGCGTTGGGAGATGGGCCCACCTGCCCCCACCACAGGCACCCTTCACCACTCTGTCATAGGCACTGCCCATGTTTTCCCATAATGGCCTCGTATAATTGCAGCAATGCTGGGAAGGAAGTAGCTGTGATAGGCCCATTTCTCAGGCCAGAAGACGGCAACTTGAGATAGTTCCATGGCTCATTCAGGGATGTGGTCTTCAAAGCCTGTCACTATGGCTTGCTACTTCTCATGGGCTGAGATCTCAGAAATCTCAGAAAACTGAAAGGGCTGCAGAGACAACCAAGCGAACTGTCAGCACTGCACAGGAGATGCCCTACTGCCTCGGCACAGCTCTCAGATTCTGAGAAAGGCTTCCAAGAAAGCACAACGTCACTGTTAACCCAGTGCACACACACCCAGCAAGGAAGACACAGCTGCCTGAAGCTGGCAAGGGCACAGCCGTCACAGGAGGAGGCAGCTAGAAGCTGGTGATGCAATCCCAAGGCCAGAGGGAACCACTGTGCCATGGGCAGGGTGGGAAACACCAAGTTTGGCCCAGCCTAAGAGTTCCCTAAACTGTATGTGCTCAAGGGTCTACACTAGCAGGAAACTGACCTCAGACCCTCCAGCATGGAGTGTGGACATGCCATGTGCCTACCCAAGCACTAGTTCAAACATTCACCCATCCTTGCTTTTTTGATGTTGAGTTTTCTTGTTTGTATCTTTCTAGACAACCGATCAAGCCAGAGGCAATCCCCACCCCTCAGCAAGACGCTCCCAAGTAAGCCCAACTGGCCTTTGGCGAAAGCGAGACTAGCCTCCACCTTGCCGGCCCTGACCACTCTACAGAAGCCACAGGTCCCTCCCAAGCCCAGAGAACTTGAGGATGAGGTAAGTCTGGACACGGGCTTTTCCAGGATGCGCAGGGGCAGGGAGGCAAGGGGTGGAAGGAAAGCTGGTAGAGCAGCCCGGCCCATGGCAGGTGTTCCCTCTTTCAGGCCCTAACCCCCACCCAGCTGCCCCATCCCAATCCCTCATGTTGTTCCATAAGCATTTTGTGTTCTCTAAAGGTGGCCTGTATGATCTCATCTCAGCATTTCCCTTTACTAGAGGTGTGTGGTATGATACTGAGGCCGGCCCATGTCCTTGCTTACCCCTCCTCTTCTTGCCTACAGTATCTGTGAGTTTTTCTCCCTAAGACGGTCTTTCCCTGACTTTGCTCTCCAGTGTTTCTCTGCCCTGTCTTGACCTCACTCCTCTGTTGCGAGTTGACTGAATCTATCCCAGAAATGAGTCAGAGGCAGACACACATACTTTAAACTATCCAATCAGTAAGAGAGCATCCCACCCAGCAGCAAACAGAAGCAGGCAAACAGGTTCTTCCAGTTTTATTAACAGAAAACAATTTGGGTCAATCAGCTTACTGCCTGAGCTATAAAAGAAGAGCAAGATTTCATCCTGGAATGAGATACCATCTTGTGATCTCACTAACCCAAGGCTATGGCAAAGGTTAGGTTATGGACATGTGTCAGAAGACCTAGCTTTACTGTCACCATTTTCTATTGTCTGGGCTGTCACACTCTCCCCTTAGCTCCTCCACTTCCCTCTTCACAGACAAGCAGGGCTGAGTGAAAGAACAACAGTGAGGTTGATCTGGAGACCTGCACAGAGAGGAGCCAACCCCGCTGCTCCTCGCACAGCTCTTCTCACACCCCTCGCCCCATCCACTGGGTGTACCAAGACCCATCTTTCCAGGTTATCTTGGTGGTCATCTCACCAGACTCCCCTCTGCCCTCACCTCACTTATGTGAGTTGCCTTCCCTCTGGAACTATTCCCAGTTGAAAATGAGCAGAAAAACTCAGTCAACCTGTTATGCAGAATGATGAAGGCGGTTGAAGTATGCAACCACTGGTACTCGCATTTGAAATAAGTGCCATGACACACCTTCTGGCATCACCATTAGGACAATCCTCTATGTCAGGGAATCTGAAGAATACAGTAACAGTAAAGGCACAGTCAGTTGGCACAGTAGATTAGATGCCCCATACTCCAAGTCCTACCTGGTTCAAGTCCTACCTCTGCTCCTGGATCCAGCTTCCTCCCAGTACACACCCTGGGAAGCAGCAGCAGGGCTTTCTATAGTTGGTTCCCTGCCTCTTATATAAGAGACCTAGATTAAATTCCCAGCTCCTGGCTTCATGGCACACTCCCACATGTTGCAGTGAAGTAATGAATAGTTCTGTCTGCCTCTGTTTCTCTGCCTCCTAAGTAAAAACAAAGAAACAAAAAGTGCAACTCTTACCTATCACCAGATATAACCTAATTACAGCTTCTGTAAGAAGTTACTTCTAATGCCTTAGATGATTAAATCTAGGTTTATGTACCTGTTATGAAACAATCTTAAGAGCCACCTTAGTATGACTTGTATCCCAGCAGGATAGAACATGGGCAGCTTCTTGACCCAAATGCCTGCTATGAGTCTTCTGGCATTGCAATTTCAGGCAGGATGAACAACCTGTTTGTTTATTTCTTTCAATTATTTGGAAGAATGAATAAAGAGCAAATATAAAACACTACATACAGTGCCTGACACACAAAAGCGGCTAGATGTATATTGGGTGTTTTTCTGCCACAGTCTAGATTATTTAAAACTCAGTTTTCTTGTTTCTCCTAAAAACCTAAGACCTAAGACCTGGCAACCCTGGGCTGTCTGTGACCTCAAAGTAGGGGAGCCATGTGACAACGCTCCTGCTCCACCTCTCCTAGTCCTAGTGTCCACTCCTCCTCCCGATGCATGGAGACCCCTTACTCTGGATTAAAAATGTCCCCATTCTGGAAATATCATTACTCTATATAGAACAGGTTTTAGATATCATGTATAAAACAAAATTTATTATAATCAGTGCCTGCATAACAAAATGTGCAAATCTGAGAATTCAGAGAAAAGTGCACAGATTCTGAAGTGGTGGAGTAGGCTCAGTAAGCTTTGGTTGGGGCATGGTGCTTCTAACTTCCTGTGCCGGTTTGAGTATTATTGTTGAGTGGCAAAGCCAGTGTTCTGTGTCAGATAGAAGGTTCTTGAGGGCTTTGCTGGTTTCAGGCTTTATAGGCCATGCCTCCTGGGGGTGGGGCTCTCCTAGAAGGGAAGCTGGCCTGTGACAATAACGTGTCACTCTGGCTGCTCGAGAACCCAGAAAGATGGAGCCAAGGGACCAGAGGATCCTGCAGGATTACCACAGGCACATGACATCCCTGTAATTCAGGGCTGGTGGAGTCAGCCTCATTTCAGCCATGGCTATTGGGTGAGTCAATTTCGATTCAAACCCAGAGAGACAGAAATTAGATTAGCGGTTGACTAGTCAGGGAACAGGGTGATGGGGAGTCAGTAGTAGCTGCAAGCTTCCTTTTGAGGGGGTATAAATCATTCTAAAATGAAATTATGATGGCTGTACATCTTTGAATAACAAAAGCCAGCAAACTGTCTGCTTTACATAGTGGAACCTTACAGAGTATGAATTCTATCTCAATAAAGCCTTTATTAAAACCACCCCCTCTTAGACACAAATCTGAACGCTCAGCATTTGCTCATTCACTTCTATGCTTCTCTTAGGCTGATTATGTGATTCCTCTTGAAGACAATGATGAAAACTACATTCATCCCACAGATAGCAGTTCACCTCCATTGGAGAAAGGTAAGAACTTGTCATCAAAGCCCTTGCAAACTCACAGTTGGTCTGGACATGTTGGATTATTTGGGGGTACGCAGTAAGGGGGCTCCAAATTGACAGCACCCAGGTCTCTTTCCTTGGTGGCCACATGTGTGTCCTCTGGTCTGGTCAAGCGAAGACCCACCCCTATATCTCAACTTCCCCCCTTTGCCCTCTTTCTTCTCTGTGACTCTTCACAGCTTTTCGAATGAACAAGCACCTGTGTGATTATCTCCAGCTGCCCTGGCTTAGAATGGATTTCTTATAAAAGTTAATACAAAAATCACAAGTTTGACCTTAGCATTTGAAGTGTTGTCCCAAGAACAGTTGCTTCAGACGACTGAAAGAACTGATAAAGTTGTAATATGGTGTGTGTCCTGGCTCTTTCCGCCCAGTGGAACCTTGGGACCGGCAAGAAGCAATCCCTTGGTAAACCCTTCATGGGATGGCAAATGCTGTCACCAACAGAGGCTCTGAAAAGCCAGTGCCACAGGCCCCAGGCTGGGCCAGGAAACAGTAGATGTTTACCCCGGCCAGGGTTGCCTTGGAGAGCATAATCCTGTCCAGGGGACAGTTCTTCAGGTGATCATGAGGCAGCAGGGCTCAGTTTTTCCTCTGCCACCATGAACCAACCCACCCTGTCCACCTGAAAGATCGCCAGCGGCTGATCATCAGCCCTACCTTAACCCCCACCCACCCATTACCATAATACAACAGATCCTTCCTCCCTTATCCCCACGGAATCCTAGGAAACCATATGCACTACAAGTGGCAGAAGAAATGGGGCCATGCACTTCTAGGTTCAAAAGTTATATCCTAATCGAAGAAAGAGAGAGAGAGAGAAACTCTTCTATCTATTAGACCTCTAGTTTGGGCAGCAGAAACCCCTGCTAGAGTTGACCTCTGTCATAGAGTCATGTGACTATTCCTGCAATCATTAACTTAGCCACTTTCATGGTGTTTCTTTGGAGAGGGCTTCTTGTAATGGTATGTACGCTCCATAGAGGTGTCCCCCATTCTTCCCACACACCCCAGCTGGACTTTCCTCAGTGGCAGGTGTCTGTAGCCTGTGCCGTAACGTGTACTCATGCGCATCCATCTCTGTATTCAAGCTCCCATGGTGAACAGATCAACCAAGCCCAACAGCTCCTCAAAGCCATCCTCCTCTCCTCCAGGAACAGCTCCAGGTAAAGTATTTGCCAGATGTGGTTTGCTTTTTCCTCCATTCCAAATAAGATAAACAACTAAGACCCAACATAGCAGAATAGTCCCTTGAATTTTCAGATATTTTTAACCAAAGGAACAGAAGGCTGTCTCCACCTCGATACACTATCTGGTGGGACCCTCATCCCTAGCCCCTTAGGCACCCCACCGACCTGGTCCTGTCTCCGATTCCCACACTCTCTCCACTGTGCACTTTGCTGGTTTTTCTGTATTGCTTTTCCCAAGGGATTCCCGGGGTTCAGCTTATAGCCCTCAGCTCTTTTTTGGACATCGTGGGAGTGAAATCTTCCAATAGCTGGGACTGGGCCAGGCTGAAGCCAGGAGCCTGGGACTCCTGGGTCTCCCATGCAGATGGCAGGGGCCCATAGACTTGAGCTATCATCTACTGCCTCCCAGGATATGCATAATCAAGAAGCAGGAATCAGCAGTACAGCCAGGATCAAAATATAGGCATCCTATGCAGTGTCTCTACTAACCATTGTCATGATTCCCAAAACAAAAAGCTTTTTAAGAAAAAAAAAAGACCTAAATTCTCCTTTACAAAAATACTTTAATAGGTGACCAGTGCTGTACCGTAGCAAGTAAAGCTATTGCATGCAGGGCCAGCATCCCATATGGGCACCAGTTTAAGTCTCAGTTATACCACTTCTGAACCAGCTCCCTGCTATTGTGCCTGAGAAAGCTGCAGTGGATGGCCCAACGGCCCTTGTACACACATGGGAGACTCAGAAACTCCTGGCTCCTGGTTTCAGACAGGCCCAACTCCAGCTGCTGTGGCCATTTGGGGAGTGAACCAGCAGAGGGAAAAAATCTCTCTCTCTCTCTACCTATTTCTCTCCGTACCTATCTCTCTCTCTCTTTCCCCTCTATGTAATTCTGCCTTTCAAATAAATAAATGTTTTCCTTTTAAAAAAAACTTGAATAATTTCTGGTGTTTGCATGTTAAATAAAACTGCTTTCCCTATCCCAGAACCTCATTTTCCTAAAACATACCCAGACCTGCCATCAGCTTATATTTCATGAGCTCTGTTTCTTGGTGTTTGTTCTGTCTTTTATGGCAAAAAATCCTGCCTTTCCTTCAAGGTCCAGGTTAGCAACCTCCACCTCCAGGAAACCTCTACTGGTTTCTGTAGCTCTTCAAGAGTTCTCCTCGGCTGAAGTCTCTTGCTATCTACACTTAGCCCACATCTGTTCCCTAATGACTTTGTAGCTCAGAGTCAAACCCTAAGTGCCTTGTAAGCTCCTCACTGACCGTGTTTTGAACAGCACTTGCTCTGGAGGCTTTACCTGACCCCACAGTGTGGGAAGAGCCTCGTGATGTGCACTTCCGTGGTAACTTGCCCATGCCCTAGCCAGCGGCTTTTGAGGGTTCATTCTGTCCAGTAGGTCTCACTGCTGCATGTTTGCTTCACCGCTATGGTACCAGGGCCTGGCTCGGGGTAGGTGTGGCATGCTGGCTGGATCAGTTTGTTGGGAGGATCAATGACTCCCCACACACTGATTGCATTTAGAGAGTCACATGGCTCCACTGTGAGGGCATTGGCCCATCAAATTACTCATTCATTTGTTATTAATCTAACGTTACTATATATTAGCATTAGCAGCATTTGCTAAGGAAAACATATCTGAACCAGAGAATAATGTTAAGAGAAATAAGAAAATCTAATCCCAGAGAACATGATGAGGAAAGTGCCTGTCTGGGTCTTAATCAGAGCCTGGGTTGGGCCCAGCCTTGGCCTTGCCAGTTCACTTCTCCCAGCTTTAGTTTGTTCCCTATAAGGCTTAGGAGGGCACACTAGAGGCACCCAGCACACTGCAATGGTTGATCATAGGACAGTAAAACAAAGACAACCATAATCAGATTTACAGAGCTCCCTAGGAGTTTAACTCACACATCACAAAACTCAACCGTCTCATGTATACAATTCAATGACTTTTGTAAAGCATTCCACTTAGTGATGTGTTATGTAACCAACACCACAATCCAGTTTTTGAAAATGTCCATGCCCACCACCCTACCTCCAGATGACCCCCAGGCCCATCAGTGGTCAGTGCCATTCCCACTGCCAGCTCAGGGCAGCCACCAGTCTGCTCTGCTTTCTGTCATTATAGATTTGCTTTTCTGGGCATTGTGCATAGAAAGAAAAACATAAGTGCAGTATTTTTTAAACCTAGTTCCTTTCACTTAGCATAATGCTTTTACATTCAAATACTGCCTGGGGACATGGGGAAAAGGGAAGGTTGGTGGAAAAGTCAGTCAACAGGCATTACAAAGGTAAAACAGTCCAGCAGATGAGCATTTAAGGAGAGAAAGGCTTGGGGAAATTTCTGCCTTAGACCTTCTTCCACTTTCTTCTTTTTGAGACAAGCTGCTTTCTCCTCCCACAGATTTCCCATCAAAATCCATGAGTATCCCCTGTCAGTCTGAAGCTTTGAATTGGGTGCATAGCCAGTTAAACACAGTTAGATTCACATTGCATATCTGGATGGCATCTCTGCTTATTGCCGAATGAACCACAAGATCTCCCAGTATAGTCTCTTTTCCGACATATTTGTAAAAATCACCTGCAGGGGCTTTGCTGCCTGGGTGCCAGGGAGCACTGCAATGGGTAGGCCCAGCCAGCCCCAGCTGCCCTGCCTGGCAGGCTGGGGAAGGTGAGCTGACACCAGGACTGCTCATAGAGAAACAGGGTGGACCCCAATGGCAGCCTCTGCTGCTTCTCCTGTAGCACCCTGCAGCACTTAGTGCAGGCTGGTTCTCACAGCTCTCGGCAATTTCCTGTCACTGCAAATTTGTTTATTCCACAAACTTAAGCAATACACCCTGAGGGCAGTGTGACCAGCCTGTGTGGAACCTGTGTCCTCAGCACTGTGAGGTGTAGTTGGTTCCCAATGAGGCACTCATTCAACAAAGAGCCTATCAGGAGCCTTTCGGCCCAGGCAGGCCAACACCTGGCTGAGAGGAGGAGCAGTATGTCCAGATGCTGGGCTCCCTGCGCCAGGCCTGCCCTGTACCCCTGCCTAGCAGCAACATCCACCATGACTCTCCCTTACTCCCTTGCCTCCACCCCCCAGAATGATTGCCTGACTTCCGTCTTCAGGTAGGAAGGGGGGAAGTTGGTCCTGAGCTATGTCATGGACATGCTTTAAATGTGATATCACCTTGCCCACAGCTATTCCCCAGTACCTACCCTCTAGCTACTACATGAGCTTAACTGAAAACAACGTGAACTGAATGTGGGCTTCTGAGCACCCGGAAGGCTGGGGTCACCACTGAGATGGCCAACCTCAGGTTCAGGACCTGGGACTGACCCGTGTGTGTTTTCAGGTCGGAACAGCGGGGTCTGGGAGTGCAAGCCGCCTCCATCCCCTGCCGCACCATCCCCACTGCCGAGGGCAGGGTAAGTACCCACTGAGACCTTACTGCCCTGTGGATGCCCCACCCCGAGCCCCTCTCCACTCCCACCCGCAGGCTACAGGTTAGGGCAGGAGCCCTGTGGCAATCAGAAACCAGGAGTCTATCCTTTGGCGCACTTGTAGTTGAATCTTGAGCTCACTGGCCCCCCAATGAACACACAGCAGGTCCTCAGTCAAGAGGCACAGTGACGGGTTCTTTCAAATGGGATATGAAAGAATCGGTGCTTCTTTGTCAGCTTAAACTGTCAGGCAAGCATTGTAATGTGTTTATTTCACAGTGACCTCATAGAGTGATGTTGGCTCAGTGGGTTATTTTAGATGTACATTTAAGTATGTCCAAAGCAGGCCTGCATGGCTCTAATCTTCAGTCTGCCTCTGTGTAGACCAAAGGAGGGCTTCATTTCAGGGAGGTTGTTAACCAACTTTGTTGGCTCAGCTTTTCCACTTTGGGCACATTTCTTAGTCTTTCTGAGCCTGTTTCTGTGTCTCTAAAATGTGCAAATGATAGCCATTTTCATAGGTCATTGTAGGATTTAAATAGCAGTGAAAAAGCCAAAGCTGTGCCAGTCTTCCTGTAGGCACAGAAAGAGAGAGAGTTAGATTCCAGTGGCCATTGAAACCAAGACAAAGGTGGAATGTTAGTAAGGTTCACACAAATCACTGGGGCAGCAAATCACAGTGTCTTCAAACTTGAACTTGTGGTCTTGGGTCTGTCCAAGTGGAATACTAACCGGAAGCTTAGAAGAGCTTGGTTACCCAGAGTACGGTAACTAGGGCAGGGAAGTGCCAGTAGTACCCTTTCCTGCTTGGTTCCTCTCATTTCTCCCTCCCTTCCCAGGCAGGAGCCCTGCGGTGCTGTTGAAAAGAGGGGACGCTTCACAGCCATTTCAAAAACATGGGCCGTGCTCCTCATGTTACAGCTGATCAGCTAATGCTCCAGCTTGCCTCACAGCCAAGCGCAAAGGGCCCAAGGCCCTGGGGAGTTGACAGCCCAAAGGAAAAGCTGACAGTTCTGCTGAATGCCTGGCAAATGGGGCTCTTGCTTACTCTGCTCCCACTTAACCCCTTCCTCGTGTGCCAGAAGACCCTATCTGAGGCCAGGAGGACCATCACTAAACCCCTCCTCTCTCTGCTCTTTCCCACACATTCAGTTTCATTATCCTGCTTTAAATTTGAGAGTAATAAGATAGACTACTTTATCTCCATTGTGCTTTAACAAAGGTAATCTCCTTCTATTCCCCAGGAAAAAACCAGCTACACCACTGAAGACTGTAAGTTGATTTGCATGTTAAAGTGCTTCATGTTTCCTGCTGTTTATTCTTATCCATTTACTTCCAGTTGACAATGCTCCCATGCTGAACACAGCCATCTTAGCAAGTAAAGTTGCTTCCCAGTAAGTCCCAGAGAAGCTTCTAGTCTCCAGGTAGACAGGGAGCTCTCCTTTCTGGACCCAGTACCCTCACTGTGTGCAGCACATTAGAGAGATCACTGGAGCCCCAGCTCCCACATGTCTGCCTTTTCTTTGGGAATTCCAGTGTGTACTCTGCCTGCTAACTCAGGAGCCAATGGCAGACCATTGTGGATCAGCACACTGGGAACTCCCTCTCTCACTCACTCACTTATTCACTCAAATTCCAGCCCAAACATGGTGAGCCTGGGCCACCCGTTATGCTAGGAAGCCCACCTGGACTTGGCACCTACTTAGCAACCTGACATCTCCCATTACTTAACACTCACAAGGTGAGGCCAGGGGACCTAAACAAGTGCCAGATGCCTACTGCACAAAAGTGACTGCCTGGCAGCTGCTTGGTGTCATGTTACCGACCAACACCAGTGATGGGGCAGGGGGTCTCCACACCAAGATGACATGGTGACACTTAAAGTTGTCACTTAGTACAAACTTTTAGCTGGGAACTGGGTGTTTTTCATTGTTGTTGCTGTGATGGAAAGACTATGCAACAAAGAAACTCCTGTTGAAATGCTTATTTTACTGATACTGCTTTGACTTTTGTTTCCACATTGCTCTATAAATATCCTTGTCTCTCTCTCTCTTTTTTTTCTTTTCCAATGTAGACTCCAGTTGCCTTGCAACAGAACCCATCAAGTGTTTGTGAAGGTAAATCTATTTTTGTAAAGGATAACCTTGTCCTCTAAAAGTAATTTTAACTAAGGATTTGCAGACAAATATGTTTCTAAATTTCTTTTCTTATTTATAAGACAAGTATCAATATGAAACTCAAATTTCTAAACAAGATAATCATTCACTTTGCAATGAGTACAGTTTGCAGAGCTAGCTCAGAACCTGAGTTTACTGGGGATCGTCTTTGAAGTAGGTTATAGACAACATGTCCCAAATCTGCCTGATTGCAGGCACTAATGACTTTCTAGAAAATGAAGCTGTGGTCCTAACCCTACTTTGATGTGAAAGCTAATTCAGAGTGTGTTTCACACAACTGTTAAAAATCTGCTTGGGATGCCTGCCTCTCATGTTGGAGTACTGCTGTTTGAGACCTGCCTGCACTCTCAATTTCAGCTTCCTGCTAATGTGGTCCATTAGCAGATGATAGCTCAAATATTTAGGTCCCTGCCACCCACATGGGAAATCCAGGTTGAGTGCCTGGCTCCTGATTCAAACTGGCCCAGCCCAAGCTGTGGAGAACATTTGGACAGTGACCCCAACAGAAAGGAAATCTCTCTTTTTCAAGTAAATAAATACATTTTTAAAAGACTAACATTGAGCTATTTACATACCTTAGAATGAAATAGCTTAGTTAAGGTAATGACATTTTTAAAAATCTGTTTATTTGAACAAGTCCTTTTGCCAAGTTTTCAATGTAATGATTTCAAAGTAGAAATGACTCTGAGTACATCTTCGTATGCTTTTCTTCCTTTATGTGATTGAACTCAAAGATCTGATTTTTTTTTAATTTTTTTAATTAAAAAACATTTGTATTTGAAAAATACTAGGGGAAAAACAGAAACAATTAAGAACCATCTATCATATCAACACTTAAAAACTTCTACAGCAGTTTAACCTCACAGCTTCAGGAGCCCAAAAACCATCAGAGAAGGAGCTCGTGGTCTGTCCCCTGCAGCTTGGGTGTCCGCATCCTCAAAGAGCCCACTCCAGGAATCAGACCCTGACTGTACAAGCCCAGAGCAAAGGAGCAATCTCTTCCTGCCTAGAACCCTTGAGGTCTACAGAAGCAAAGCCTGCAGCGAAAGCTCACAGGCTTCTGGGAGTCAACAGGTCATTGCTTCCTCTTCTGAAATCACCGGGTTCTGAAGTCATGAACAAAACATCTACCATATGACTTGCCATACTTTTGAAGTGTGGCTTCAGAAGCTCAAAGTTCCAGACTTCAGTGCAATACCCAAAACCCTAAATCCTACATTAATATTGAATTCAATCTTTGTGTTCCCTCTACTTTAATTCCTTTTGGACTCTCATAATTTTTAACTGTATTCTAAGCAGGAAAAAATATCTTGACAAATGTCAGTTCTTGAAGGAGAGAAACTGTTGTAATAATTTGTGATGACATTGTATAGTGATTCAGCAATGACTTTCCCTATGGACCTTAAGAGAAATCACTCACATTTCAGGATTTTGCCCATTTTCCACTGCTTCTTCCTCGAGAAAACAATGAGATTAACCTTACTGTGGAGATAATCTCGAATCTGATCTAATTAATTTTTTTCCCCAAAAGAGTTAAGAAGCCTAATGTACTTCTCATCAGTAGCAAATTACTTGTACCCCACCCCTCAGGATGAACGAAGATGCATCAGGGTACTATAACATCTCTATGGTGTCTACTTAGAAGGTGAAAGGTGGGTTGTCAAGGAAATGATGAAATTTGCTCATCATCTGGCTCCCCACTCCTCCCATACCTTTAAAGGGCCAGCCACCATGGGTCCAGCTTCTCTAAACATTGCCAAAGGACAGATGCAGAAGTGGCAGGGTGCACCTCTAACAAGACCTCATAGCGGTTCCAGTCCTACTAGCAACCCATCAGCAGACTGGCAAGTGCACAAATCCATGTCATACTAGTAAGGATGTCCCTGGGAAGGCATCCGACTACATTTGCTTCTTCTCAGTGGAGGTGGTTGAATTTTGGAGTGGTGGCAGAGATTTCACTCTAATCCTAACATGAGAATTTTCCTAATGCAGAAAAACCTGTGCCTGCTGAACGTCACCGAGGGTCCAGTCACAGACAAGAAGCTGCACTGTCACCTGTGTTTCCTCCTAGCCAGAAGTAAGACTTTTTCCTTTAAAGATAAATTCCCTCTTGTTTCTGCAGGAAGCAACATGTGCATTGTTACATTTCACTGGCGTGCAGTGCTTAATAAAGAATATTTCATTGCTTTGTAATGCTCGTATTGTGCAACTTTAAAAGACTTATATAGAGCTGCAGAGCCCTACTATTCAGGCTAATTATTGGAGTTAACTAAAACATCATCTACTAAGCTATCTATATTATATAGGTAGATGTTATAATATGTTCAATATACCTTACTCAAGCACCTATTTTCCAATGATCTTATTTATTTCGAGTTGTTTATGCTTCCCTGACCTTCAAATACCTTTTATTGGCCATTCATGTTGACTCCTTTCTGTTACCTCTGTTCAGAGCATCTTTGATGTAAACAAAAACTAATTGTTTGTAGTGTGCTTTGCCCTTTAATTAACCTGGAATTCTTTCTTTCAGACAAGTCCATCAAAAACCCATTCCTTTACCAAGTAAGTACAATGAAGTCATGCTGAGCGACGTCGGGTAATTGTAAAGATGGCATATTCGTGTCTGACGGAGCTGGGTTCTAAGACAGCAGTAGACAACAGCCACTGCCTGTTGCTTGCTTGTTTTGTCTTCTGTAGAATGGGTCGAGGCTATTCATTGCACAGAATTGTTTTGAAAATAAATTTGAGATCTTTTTACTGTTTTTCTGTTTCAGTACTGACTTCATATTTTCTGGGCATCCATCTTGTTTTATTGTGCAAAAAAAAAAAAAAAACAACAAAAACCAGCTGTTATTAAAATAAGGGGATTAGTCAAACAACCCGAGGGAAGTGCCTGGCCCAGTGCTTAGTATATAAAAGATCATCAGTAAGTGGTAGCTATCCAAATCAAATCTAAAATTAATGTTCATGATATGACAATAAAAAAGTATGTTTATAAAAGGTTCTCTGAAAAGAGTATATGACAAATGTCAGTATAAGGTTCCCAAAGTAAGCATCACCCTAAAAAAAATGAGTTAATGATAACAGGATGATATCAAACTGCAGAATCTATCAAGAGTAAATCTATTTAAGTAAAAGCAGCATAGTTGTCAAGCATAAAAACTTCAGGTGCATTTTTACTAAACATAATTTTGGCTTCAATTAGATTTTTTATTCATCTTAAATAACAAAAATTGCTGAATAGTTTTTTTTTGAAAAATTGTTATCACATAAAGTGAAAATATCTTATCTGTAGAAATCTCTTTTTCTATTCAAAAAGCTTTCCTATACCTTTCATTGTTTTCTGCCCAAGTCATTCTTTCTGTCGTAACTGAGTGTCTGTCATGTGCAGGGATAGTTCTAAGAACAGAGGGCCTTGGGAACCCTGGGGAAGCTGGACCACCCCTAGCACACTCACCTCTGCTGCTCTTAGCTGAGGATGCCATCTCTGCTCCTGGGGACAGGCCTGCCAAGCCCTTGCTGGCCCCTCCGTTCCAATGGTGACTGCCTTCTAGAAATCCCCAGGATGCTGTCTTACGAACTGTGTAGCACATTAAAACCCCTTTCTGCCACTGACGTCCCCTTGTTAATAAAGGGCAACTCTGGCTGCTCTGGTCAACCTTGACCCCCTCCCTTGCTTTCTTTTCATACCTGCAACAACTCCTTCCCAACCAAAGTGTGTACCAAGTGCAGCCATCCTCTCTACATTCAGGCCATCAATTAGCTCCTGAAAAACACCGACACAGCTTCCCTCTGCCCTTCCTCCTCCACCAGAGTGACACGCAGATAGATCACATTACTCATTTATTGCAGCCTTCTCAAAGCTGCCGTTTATCATGGTCCTTAAAGTTGCAGTCACTGGGAGGTCCCAGCAGCTTCTGACATCTGGTCCCCTTCTTCCAACTTCCAACTTCATGCCTTGCTTGTCTCTTTTCTCACGTACTGCAAGCAAATTACCCCCACCCCACCCCCTCCCTGGCTACTCCTGAACTAGACCAGGTCCTGGATTTCTATCTGGAATATTACTTTTTCATTTTTTGAAAGGCAAAATTACAAAAAGTGGAGGAATAATGCACAGATAGTCTTCATACTCACAAAATGGCTCTAACGGCCAGGGTCCAGGCCAGTTTGAAGCTAGGAACCAGAAGCCTGGAGCTTCTTCCAGGTCTCCCTGGTAAGCGCAGCCACCCTCCACTGCTTTCGTAGGTGCTTTAGCAGGAAGCTGTATTGGAAGTGGAACATCTAGAACTCAAATTGGCACCCATATGGGATGCTAGCAGTGCAAGCAGAGGCTTACAGTTACATCACAAAGCCCACCCCTGGAATATTCTTTCTTAATATGTCTACATGGCTCCTTCTACTCTGCCTTGGGACCTTGCCTAAGTACCCCTCTAGGGAAGCCTTCCTATTCTGCTTTGCTTTTTTCTATAGCACTTACAAGTCTACTATTGTATGTGTCACTATTGAGGTTCATACTGCTCACCTCAATCATGAATAGCTCCAGGAAGGCTGTTTTGTTGGCTTCTGTACATTCCCATTAGCAGGCACACAAGAATGAGTGAATGAGGACAGTTTTTCCACTTCATGCGTCTCCACACCTAAGCTGTAAATGTCTCAATGAACTTTGTATCTGAAGCCAATGATGCCCAAATGTTTTGGGGACCCCTCATATTTAGTATATCAATAATTTTAAAACCAAGTCTTTAAAACACATTTATTAATTCATTTAAAATAGAATATTGCATATCAACACAATAATGTGTTTTTATAAAAAAATAGTTATATTTTTCAGACAAAAGCAATTTAGTGAGAGGGATGGCCTTGTTTTCCATTTTGTAAATGTCTTTACCGTCTAAACTAACAGACTGAAGAACACCAACACAGCTTCTCTCTGCCCTTCCCTCTGCTGGGTTATTATATTGCTATCTATATTCAACATGCTGCAGTTTCAAGTTAAAATACATGAAGAAAACTGAACTTAACAGAGATAGGAAAATGGAGAAAAAAGGACATTTCAAAATTCCCCCCAAAAGATCCTAAAGACCCCCAGTGTCCTCAGTCTACATTTTGAGAACCACTGCCTCAAAAGAAAGGGGAAGGGAATGGGGGAGAGAGAGAGTATTCCAACAGCACCCAGCCCTGTGTGTGTTGGGGGTGGGGGGGCAGGCATAATAACTGCTCAAGAAACAGCAAAGACTAATTAATTTTCCAACTCTCTACCAGGATTTTCAGAAGGGGGAAGCCCAACTGTGGATGGTCCATCACCCAGCTTTTCACCTAAGTCTTCAGTTTCAGAACAGGTTTGAGATGAACTTTTTCTTTTTAAGACTTATTTATTTAAAAAAAAAACATTTATGGGGCAGGGACAGGGGAAAGAAAGAAAAAGAGTTATCTTCCATCCACTAGTTTACTCCCCAAATGGCTGCAATGGCCAGAAGCCAGGAGCTTCTTCTGAGTTTTCCACATGTGTGGCAGGCCCCCTAAAAACTCCACTGCTTTTGGGCCCGGCGCGGTGGCACAGTGGTTAAGGTCCTCGCCTTGCACGCCCGGGATCCCATATGGGCGCCGGTTCCTATCCCGGAAAGCAGTCGAGGACGGCCCAAAGCTTTGGGACCCTGCACCTGCATGGGAGACCCGGAAGAGGCTCCTGGCTTTGGATTGGCATAGTATCGGCCGTTGCGCTCACTTGGGGAGTGAATCATCGGACAGAAGATCTTCCTCTCTGTCCTCTCTGTATATCCACCTTTCCAATGGTGGGAGCTGAGCCATTCCGAAGATAGGAACTGGGAACTTCCTCCAGGTCTCTCACATGAGTACAGGGTCCCAAGGCTTTGAACCATCCTCTGTTGCTTTTCTAGGCCACAGCAGGGAGCTGGATAAGAAGCAGAGCAGCCGGGACACAAGCCAGAACCCATCTGGGATCCCGGCACTTGTAGGCAGAGGATTAGCTAGCTAATTGAGCCAACATGCTGGGGCCCGACACAATAATTTTCATAAAAGCACTTTGGAAATTATAAAGCACTCCACATGGCAACAATAACAAGGATATAACAGAAAGGGCAAGTACAACTTATTTAAAAGAAGGACGTGATTCAGAAACCTGCCAGGATTTAGTTATGTTCAAGTACCTGAGTTAAGCAGCTAAAGCCAAATAGAAGGAATGAGCCAAAGACATAATCCTGTGGTCAATCAAAGGAAACCTAAGATTCATTTTCACATCGTTGGTGTAATTGCAGTTAGATCTCAGCAGTGCTGGTGTGAGTTCATTTCTAGTGCATGCAGGTCAGAGGCCTAACAGTGCCTTCCATTCTGCAGGAAGCTGATGTGCACTGCAAACCATGGTATGCTGGGGCCTGTGATCGAAAGTCAGCTGAGGAGGCACTGCACAGATCAAACAAGGTAGGACTTGTGAAAAGCCCATTGTCTTCGCTCAGCCTTCAGGAGGCACAGCTGTGGCCATGATAGTATTTTAACAAAATGATTGCAACAATTATGAATGCTGGGAGCCACTGTCCTCCCCTCCTCCCTCTCAGGCGCCCCCATCTCATTTCTAGTTATCCTTGAATCTCTGTAGGGTCCACGGGCTCCTCTGTCCTCCAAACAGTGCGACAGAAAAAACTGCAGGTGGACCTTGAGAAGGCACCGTGCTCCCAAGTGTGATCAATGCACAGGGACCAAACTTGGTTGATCAGTCTGGGTCTAATGGCCAAAAATACCCAGAGGTAGTTTTCCAGAGAGCTCAATCCTAATGATGTGGGAGCACTGGGACAAGTTTGGACAATCCAAAATTAAAGTGCCAGTTTTCACCTTCTCTCATAATTTTTCTTGTGCCCTACTTTGTTTTTGTTTGTCTTAAGTTCATAAAAGTGGAATTAAAGGAGACGTTTGGTACAAAAATGGTTGAAGTCCATACAGTTGTTTCATAACATGTACTTCCGACAAACCTTTTGATGACCCCTCAGATGATTAAATCACACAGTCCCTTCAGCTGCTTTCCCAGCTCTCTGGTTCCTAAGGAGTCTCTGGGTTTGCCCCTAGTGTGTCTCTTCACACATTTCCTAACACGTCAAAAAGCCAGCATTGGTGTTCCTGAGGTTTTTCCAGGACTGCATATTTTGTTGAAATATTTTCTCGAGAAATAATAAATTCTGATCTGTGGTAAAAATTGACATAGCTTAGCAATTACCTTTTGAATATAATTGTAAATTTTCATTGTAAACTGATTTTTAACCGACCAGAAGTAAGTAGTTCCAACCATGATTATTTCTTTTTCTTACAGGATGGATCATTTCTTATTCGGAAAAGCTCTGGCCATGATTCTAAGCAGCCATACACACTAGTTGTATTCTTTAATAAACGAGTATATAATATTCCTGTGAGATATATTGAAGCAACGAAACAGTATGCTTTGGGCAGAAAGAAAAATGGTGAAGAGGTTAGTAATTTCTCTTTTCACCCAATACTGCAACTATTCATTGGGAATATTCCTGCAGCATGATATAAAGATTACATGGTCTTAATTACTAACCACACATGAACTTAAGCATCCGTCTAATCCTGAACAAACTCTATGCTTTACCACACCCCAGCTTAGCAGCCTGTTCCTTTATAAATGAGTCCTGTAAGATGAGCTGGAATGTAATCCATAAAGAAACAGATATATTTTCTGATCCCAAGTGATGGGTTATATTTGAATGGGTAAGTGAAAGTTGGAGGAAAAGAGGACAAAGTGGAAACAATCTTAGCAGGAAAGAAACACATTATAAATAGAGCTGAGAAAATATCACTTTCCAGATTCCTTCAGAAACAGCAATACTGTTCCTGAGCCAGCAGCACTGTAATTGCTGGAGTTTTTGTCTTCCCCATTAGCTGGAGCAAAGGACTACATATTATTCCTTTTTGCATTCCCAGAACAAGAACAGAATAGCTGGCTTCAGTGGATTCTTTATTTTGCTTTGTAGAAAAGTTGTGGTAAAAAAAAAAAAACAGGTACTATAAAATCTATCATCTCAGTCATCTTTAAATGTGTGGTTTGGTAGTATTCAAAACACTTACATTGTTGTGAAACACATCTCTAGAACTTCCCCTCTTGCAGAACTGAAACTCTATGTTCAAGAACCCCTCCTCCTCCCTTCCTTCCAGCCCCTGCAAATCAGCATTCTACTTCTTATTTGTATGAGTTGGACAACTATAGAAACCTTGCACACGTGAGATCAGTGTTGCTGACTGCTCAAATAGCCTCAAGACTCATCATGCAGCAAGTGACAGAATTCTCTTTCTTTTTAATCTTTAAATTTGTGAGTCTAGGATATTCTATATTTATTTTAAGGATGTGTAGTATATAAAATTGTAACAATTTACTATATTTTGTTTTTCTACTCACTGAGTTGCTCCTAGTTCTTGGCTATTGTGAATAGTGCCAGTATAGAGATAAGTGTGAAAATACCTAAGGCTTGCTTTCAGTTCTTTTTCTCCCTCTCTGGAGATAGAGAGACAGACAGACATGGGATTCCTGGGTCACAGTGGTTTCAGTTTTAATTTTGGGGGGGATCCAGCATGCTGTTTTCCATAGCAGTTGCATCACTTTATAATCCCACCACTATTATGCAAGGATTCAAAATTTTTACATCTCCATTAACACTTGTTACTTTCTGTGATTTGTTGTTGTTATTATTATAACAGCCATGTTAACTAGGAGTCAGGAGATAACTCACTATGATTTTGACTTGCACTTCTCCAGAGATTAGTGAGTTGATCATTATTTATTTATCTGAGAGGGAGACAAAGCGGGAAAGAAGGAAAGAGAGAATCTTTCATCCGCTGGTTTACTTTCCAAAGGCCTGCCAAGGACTGGGAGAATACCAGGCCAGAGTCAGGAGCTGGATATTCAATCCAGATTTCCTAACTGGGCAGCAGGAACCCAATTCCTTGAGCCATCATCGCTACCTCCCAGTGTGAGCATTAGCAGGAAAGATGGACTTAGGAGTTGGGACTAGGAGTCAAATCCAGTTAGTCGAATGTATGACAAAGGTATCCTAATCAGCATCCCAACTACTAGGCTAAACATCCACCCACCCCATTCCATTTTTAATAAAGTTTCAGAAAATAAGAAAATGTAGAGCATCTGAATATGAGACCATTGATAAAGATATAAATTGAGTTTCAGAATTTAGACTGCATTATTTAACCACAAGCTGAACTATAGCAGAGTTATCTGCTTTCCTTATGTATAAAGCCACCACTCTCGGCCCGGCGGCATGGCCTAGCGGCTAGAGTTCTTGCCTTGGACACACGCGCCTGTATCCCATGTCGGTGCCAGTTCTGGTCCCGGCAGCTCCACTTCCCATCCAGCTCCCTGCTTGTGGCCTGGGAAGGCAGTCGAGGACAGCCCAGGGCTTTGGGACCCTGCACCCGTGTGGGACACCTGGAGGAGGTTCCTGGTTCCCGGCTTTGGATCGGCGCAGTACCGGCCATTATGCTCACTTGGGGAGTGACTCATCGGACGGAGGATCTTTCTCTCCTCCTCTCTGTATATCTGATTTTTTAATAAAAATAAATAAATCTTTAAAAAAATTTAAAAAATAAAAAAACCCACCATTCTCCATGAAAACTTTGATTTTAAAGCTTTGTCTCCTCAGTGCTGTTCAGTAATAATCCATGGTAGGAGATGACTGGGATCCTATCAAGACAGAGGACTTTTGGAAGGATCCCTTCTGAGATAGTCTCCCTCATGTGTCTAGTTCTTAAATACATACAAGCAGGTTGAGTGTGGACAAAGGAGCTGTCCACCTTGAAGTCCTGAAATTCGCTCTTGTAAATCTCAAGCCCCCAGAGGAGCTATAGACTTTGTTCTCCAGGGAGTCACTAGTCAACAGTCCTTGTGACTTCCTTCCTCAGAATTAAGCAATTAGAGCTTCACTTCACATCCAACATATTCAACCTGTGGTCCCCAAAACAAGTACATTATTATTATTATATCTGGAATTACTGTCAATTAAAAATTTCACTTAAATTATCTATAATAAAGAGCTCATTTGGTATATATTGAACATTTGGATGGAAAATGAAAATTTAAGTTAGGTAATGTTAACCATGTAGTTAATTCTTAATTCTTAAACATCCATATCCTTAATTGTGTTTGTCTATATATGGGTTAAAAAAAAGGATGAGTTGATTAACTGTTTAAATTTCTACACAGATATTTTAACATTGTGTGACATAACATTGATTGATTTTACAGCTTTAATAACTGTTTTATTGTGTGTAGGATTTTCAGTTATCAAGCAAGTTACTTTTCTGTCCATCTAGGAACATCTCAAGTACTCTAATATAAACAGGAAAGAGAAGACCTAAGGGAAAGATGCAACTAAATTATGCCAGTTCTGTCAATCACTTTACAGCTATGCTTCAACTCTCCTCTTTACTTCAAACTCAGCTCAACTACAACCATTTCCCTCCCCTAACAGTGCAACAAGGCAATGCTCAAAACACACAGGAACTAGACAGAGAAAATGAGATGTTCCTATGTGTAACTGTGACAACTGACTCCCTTGCTTCCTGGACCCACAACGTTTTTTCACTTGGAGTCTACTTCAGACAAGTTGTGCTATTTCATTTCCTAGCCCTTCAATCTATAAATCTAATTTCCAGGGTTTGACATTTGGCCTAGTGGTTAGGATGTCCATGTTCTGTATCAAAGGGCCTGACCCCACTCCTAACCCCAGCTTCATCTAATGCAGGCCCTGCAAGGCCACAGGTGATGCTCAAATAGGATGCATGGGTCATATTCCTAGCTCTTGGTTTGGGCCCTGACCCAGCCCTGCCTATTGCATTTGGAAGTAAACCAGCAAATAGGACCATTTATCTTTCTGTCTCTCTCCTATTTCTCTCCCATCTCTCCAGAGTCTTTCTTCCTGCCTCTCAGATAAATAATTCTTAAATCTTAAGTTTAGCTTCCAATAGCATTTGATTGAATAGTATGCTATGACAACAGAAAAAATGTCTTCTGGAATTTATCATAAAAGAATCTAATTGGCCATTACAAGAGTCTTAAACAATTTAAAGACTAAACATATTCAAAGGTCCCTTCTCTCATCTCTCTTCCATGACCTAATATTCAGATTGCTATCTAAAAGACAACAGATATTTCACTAAGACAGTTGGCCAATATTTTGTATATTTTACTTTATGCAATATGTAGATATTTGGAAGCCATCCAAAAATTGATAATGCTTTTCAAAACTCTATATTCCAAATGTTAACTTTATATGAAAAATTTAAGGAAGCAATGTAAAACAAATTAAAAGCAATTGCTAAGTTTATGTCATGTTTCAAAAACAATTGCCTCTTTAAAAATGATTCTAAATGCATGTATTTGATGATTGTGAAGTTTTAGCATTTTCATATACTCACTACACTTCATCTCATGGTCCATTATACCTACTTAATCTTCATTTAAAACTTTCATCAGGGTTGTGTGGGTTAAGTCATGACTTGAGAGAAACATATCCCATATTGTAGTACCAGGTTAAGCACTGTGATAACCTTAAGAACCACATACAACATTGCAATTAAGACATGCAAAAACATGTTTATGGAAAGAGCTCAACATGCAGTTCTACAATTAACCAGGCACTAAATTAGCTCTAAACTTACTGGAAGCCAAACCAAAAACATGAAAATAGCCTAGCACTCAAATATGCAATGTGGAACTCCCAACTCCAGCCAATATCATACTCCACAGTACCATATGCCTTCTCTGGATGAAAGTTAGTCAGGTTTTCTTTATTTGTTCAAAAGACAAAACAAAAACAACACATAAGCCTACATAGAGAATAACTTTTTCTTGGTACTGAATGCTAAGGTTTATTTGTTACATGAATTCTTATATTTAAGACTTATGGAGAAAAAACTTATGCAATATAATAATCTTTTATAACAGTTTGATACAAAAAGGAAAAGCATTAAAACACTATATTAGTTTTCCACAGAGTTACACTAATTAGGGATGTCATGTTTACGTTAGTCTTAATGTAAAGAGTTTAGAATCTTCTACCTTTAAGGTTGCAGCCTTGGTTAAACTAGACCTAATAAATGGCTAATTTGAGAATAAAGGAGAGGAGAGGAGAGAGGAGCTTGAAGTTATTCTAACATGTAACCTATCTGCTTTCTCCCTTTAGTACTTCGAAAGTGTGGCTGAAATCATCAAGAACCATCAGCACAATCCCCTGGTTCTTATTGACAGTCAGAACAACACAAAAGATTCCACAAGACTGAAATACGCAGTTAAGATCTCATAAAGGAAAGAAGGTTGATATTGTGGCTTCAGACATTTCCCCCAACTTTCTCCTTTTGAGAAAAGAGTCCCAAAACTTCCTATGTTGGACTGTGAATCACGAGTAATAAAGTCAAAGTTGGAACCAGCTATTGAGGAGGTCATCCACTTCTTTAGAAGAAACTCACATGGACTTGTTCTACCTATCACTGGCCTGATGGACTGTTAAATATCTGGTGAGGTTGACTGATGCTGTTAGTATTTTTCAAATAAATGCCTTTATTTAAAATAAATAGGTGTAAAGTGCTTACAGTCATGTAAGAAAATAACACTGTATTTTCAAAATAACTAAATGTCCTTGGCTAAGAAAAAACAGCCAAAAATTTAGGACTCCAAGGCAGCCACTGGTGCATGAATGTGGTTGCCCTGTCTACTGTCAATGCCTGATGTCTTAAGTAAAATTTTAATGTGTAGAAATAAACTATTCATGTACGGTAATGTATGGTTATTTGTAGGTGCAGACAAGGCAGATGTAAAGGTTTCTGTGAATGAGTGCTTCAAACTAAGGGAAATGGGAAGGGAATGGACTTCCTGGAGTTGTTGTTTGGGACTACGTTGTTACATTTTCTTACTCAAAACAATTATAATCTCTTTGATTTGCAAGTCTGTAAGTGGGATCTAAATAGGATGTGAAGCTTAAAATGGGATGACAGCAAAACTAGAAGCGAGCTATGCTTGGGCAGAGTGCTCTGAAAATGCCATGTAGTTCAAGTTGATAATGTTCCTGAAGCCTTCTGTGTCCTTTCTGGTTGTTTTGGCTAGTTGTTCTATCAGTTATTGAGAGAAGTGTTGCCATGTCAAATGCTAATCATAGATTTGTTGACTTCTCTCTGTAGTTCTGTCAGCTTAGCTGCATCTATTTTGAAGTTTTGGTATTAAATGCAAGACAGGATCACTCTATATTCTTAATGGAGCTCTCTATCATTAAAACATTCCCCTCTGGCCTGGCGCAGTAGCCTAGTGGCTAACGTACTTACCTTGAATGCACCAGGATTCCTAATAGGGGCCAGTTTATATTCTGGTTGCTTCACTTACCTTCCAGCTCTCTGCTTATGGCCTGGGAAAGCAGTCGAGGATGGCCCAAAGCCTTGGGATCCTGCACCCACGTGGGAGACCAAGAAGAAGCTCCTGATACCTATCCTTGGATTGACTTAGCTCTGGCCATTGCAGCCACTTGTGGAATGAACCAGCAGATAGAAGATCTTTCTCTTGTCTCTCTCACTGTGAATCTGACTTTCCAATAAAAATAAATTACACACACACACACACACACTCTCTCTCTCTCTTTCTCTCTCTCTCTATACTTTGTATTATTTTTTGTTCTGGACTCTACATGCTTATACCTTTTGGTGACTTGATTTGAAAATTAGAAACAGAACAGATACGAATTTTCTCACTCCTCAAATACTTACAAACAAGGCTGGACTAGTCAAAGGCCAGGAGTCAGAAATTCAACCAAGGCATCCCATATGCATGGGAAAGGCCCAATGACTTATTACCACTGCCTTCAGGTTCAATGTCATCAGAAGGAAGCTGGAGTCAGGAATGGAGCTGGGTGTTGAACCTAGGCATTCCAGTATATGCTACAGGAATACAAAGTGGTATCTTAACCCCTAGACTAACTGACTGCACTAATTTCTACCTTTTAATCCAAGTTTATGTATTTCATATTTAATGTAATTACTGGCATGTAAGTCTACTGTCTCTGTTTTCTGTATTTTCCCATTGTTTTTACCTCTTTATTTTGTGCTTCTGTTGGGATGAGGTTTTAAAATCTGTTCAGTTGGGCCGAGCATGGTAGCCTAGCAGTTAAAGTCCTTACCTTGAATGCACCAGAATCCCATATGGGAACTGATTCCCATCCAGCTCCCTGCTTGTGGCCTGGGAAAGCAGTCGAGCACAGCCCAAAGCCTTGGGACCCTGCATCCATGTGGGAGACCCAGAAGAAGCTCCTGGCTCCTGGCTTCAGTTTGGCTCAGCTCCAGCTGTTGCGGCCGCTTAGAAAGTGAATGAATAGGCGGAAAACCTTCCTCTCTGTATATCTGACTTTCTACAAAAAATAAATCTTTCTTAAAAAGAAGGAAAATCTATTCTATCCTCAATGCTGCCTTAGTAGCAATACTTTTTCAAAAAAGGGTTCTTCTAAGATGTACACCTTTGACTTATAATCTATCTTCAAACACAGTAGTGTACCTCTTCACTGACTTATGTTACTATTATATATCTTCTTCTATGCTATAAATCCTGTTATTTCAATGGATAACTTTCCTTAGAAGAAATTAATCAATTAAGTGAAAGTAAAGGTTTCTGGATTCTTTTGTTTAGACCAACTACTCATTTTTAATATTTAAGATAGTGCAGTTTTTGGGAGTTATCCTAAGTTTCTTTTGTGACGCATTTTTATCTTCAATTTTGAAGCATAATGCTACTTGATGTAAAATTTTAGGATGACTTCTATTTTCACTCAGTATTTTTAAAGTGCCGTTCATTGTCTTCTGGCTTGCAAGCTTTCTGATGTCTGCAGTATTTCTTATTCTGATTCTCAAAGCACTATGCATGCTTCTTTCTCTGTCTTCCATGAAATGTTTCCGTTCATCACTTGTTTACACACTGTCTTGTGTTTTCCGCTTTTCTGGGTGAAGTGTTTCAAGGATATATTAAGCATGGTTGGTTTACAATGTGTCCTATAATCTCTTGCTAACTCTAAATCATTCTGCCTGGATGTCCTATTATTCCAGTACTAAGAGTCATCAGGTGTTGTTGAATTACCTATTCTTCCTATTTGCCAATTTTTCTCTCACAATTTCATGATAGTAGGTACATGCATTAAAATTTTTTATCCTCCTGATGCATTGACCCTTTTACTATAAGATGCCTCTTTTCCCATCTAATAATACATTTTGTTTAAAGACTTCTGCCAATGTTATGGTACAACAGGTTAAGCCACTGCTTGCAACACTGACATCCCATATCACAATGCCAGTTCATTTCAGCTGCTCTGCTTCCAATTCAGCACTTGGATCCCTGACATCCAAATGCAAGGCCAGGATGGAGCTCCTGCTTCCTGGCTTTGACCTGATCAGTCCCAGATATTGTAGCTATTTAGGGAGTAAACTATTAGAATCTCCCACTTCAACCCCCATCACTCTACCTTCTAAATCAATAAATCTTTTTTTAAAAGATTAATTTATTTTTATTAGGAAGGCAGATATATAGAGAGGAGAAAAGACAGAAAGGAAGATCTTGCATCTGATGATTCTCTCTCTTAGTAGCCACAACAGCCAAAGCAGAGTCCCAAGATTTTGGGCCGTCCTCAACTCCTTCCCTAGACCACAAGCAGGGAGCTGGATGGGAAGCAGGGCTGCTGGGATTAGAACCAGCACCCATACAGGATCCTGGGTCATGCAAGGCGAGGACTTTAACTGCTAGGCCACTGTGCCAGGCCCCTAAATAAGTAACTTTTTAAAAAAGAGTTTAAAAGAGTTATGTTTATTGCATAGTCAGATATACAGAGAAGAAGAGAGACAGACAGGAAGATCTTCCATCTGATGATTCACTCCCCAAGTGAGTGCCACGGCCGGTGCTGCATCAATCCGAAGCCAGGAGCCAGGAATTTCCTCCAGGTCTTCCATGTGGGTGCAGGGTCCCAAGGTTTTGGGCCATCCTCGACTGCTTTTCCTTGCCACAAACATGGATGGGAAGCAGAGCTACCGAGATTAGAACTGGCCCCCGTATGGGATCCCGGCGAGTTCAAGGCAAGGACTTGAATCCCTCTTAGCACATAAATGACCTCTCCACTTTTCTCACAAACCATTTTCACATTTATACTCTTCATGTTAATAAAAATACATCTACATTGGAAGCTTTTTATATAGATCTTAGTTTTTTTACTTTCTAAATGGTGTATACATGGGCCCGGCACCATGACCTAGCAGCTAACTGAATGTGCCTGGATCCCATATTGGTGCCGGTTCTAATCCCGGCAGCTCCACTTCCCATCCAGCTCCCTACTTGTGGACTGGGAAAGCAGTCGAGGACGGCCCAAAGCCTTGGGACCCTGCATCCACATGGGATACCTGGAGGAAGTTCCTGGCTCCTGGCTTCGGATTGATGCAGCACCGGCCGTTGCACCCACTTGGGGAGTGAACCATCGGACGGAGGTTCTTCCTCTCTGCCTCTCCTCTTCTCTGTATATCTGACTATGCAATAAAAACAAATAAATCTTTAAAAGAAATAAATGGCATATGCAAAAAATTTTCTTAATGAAAATCTCACTATAAGAGCAGACACTTGATATAACCCAAACAGTGGTTGGAAAACTATGACCACCAGACCAATATAACAAACTGTGGGTTTCTGGCATCATTTTATGAATGCACAGTGACATTCATTCATTCACAAACTGCAGGTGCACAAACTGCTTCTCCATTATGAAACTGGAATAGCCCCGAGATTATCTGACCTACAAAGCCTAAATTATTAACCACTGAATCTCTATTACATCTCTACTTTGGCTACTGAATCTTTAACAAGACAAATGCTTAGAAAAGTAAACTTTTGAAAGTGAATGCCAAACAGTAACAGGCTAATTCCAATAAAAGGGACACATAGGACAAAGTAAAAGTTTCACTCACAAATTTGATTCCAAAAATAAGATTCTCTATTTTCAGTTTTACTGAAAATATAATAATCAAGATTGTATTTTGGAATACTATTTTCAGCTGAGTTTCAGTCAGTTAAAAGGGGGGGGGAGTAGGTGAGAGAGAATTTAAAGAAGTTCCAGTTAAAAAATGTGAGCCTCCATTAGAATAACAAAAACAACAGGAAAGATTCCCACTACAATATTTAGTGATATTTGAGTGAATACAACTTATTTTTTAAGTGTTTAAGTGGTTGGCACAGTGGCACAGCACATTAAGCCACTGCTGATGACATCAGCATCCCGTAATACAGCACCAATTCAAGTCCGGCTACTCTGCTTCCGATCCAGCTGCCTACTAATGCACCTGGGGAAACGGCCGAAGATGGCCAAGTACTACGGGCCCTGATACCCACAGAAGAGAAGATGGAGTTCTGGTTGTTGGCTTTGGCCTGACACAGCCCCAGATGTTGCAATGATTTGGAGAGTGAACAAGATGGGAGAATTTTGTTTTCCTCTCTGTCCCTATCTCTGCCACTCTGTCTTTCAAACAGATGAGCTTTGAAGGATTTATTCCAGCATTACGTACATTTTTCCAGCATCACTATTCTGCAATGTATCTTTATAGTGCTGCAAAGTCTAACAGCAGAGTTCCTTTCTTCATCCTCTCTGTTCACAGGACACAAAGTCTTACTACAGATATACTTGCAACAGAGCATTTCCATGTCTCTGCTGCGATGGTACTGAAGAGTATACGCCTCACTATGGCTTTATTTTGCCAGCACAACCATAAGAAACTATGATAAATATTATCAAGTAAACTTCACCTGTGGTTTTGAAAAAAAAAAACAAAACAGATTTTTACTTTGTGTAGTTCACTATCAGAACATTAAAGCATATTTTGAAATCTTAATATTTCCCATTAGAATAAAATCCCCAAACTAAAAAAAAAGTCCTTGTATAAACACAAAGTCAAGATAAATTTAATTGGAGAAAACATTAACAATAAACAATAAAATTAACAATGCTTACCATTCTTTAGATGCCATTTACATTATTAATATATACTGTATATTTCCAATTAACTCCATTCTTAGGCTCAATTTAACAATTAATTTTAACAGGTTTTATACAAAAAATGCTTCACTAAGAAAGTAGATAAACTACACAAAAACAGTACAAGTATAATGTGCATAGCAAGATAGCTTTAAGTATCTATGTATGGCTTTCTTTAAAATAAACTATTAAGGGAATGGGCCCATTTGGGACCTACTGTTTCAGCTGACATATGTAAACTGTTTCACAACTTTAGTAGGCACTTACTAACAATAGTGTTCAATCCCTGAAAATGAATTTACCTCAAAAAACTTCTACATCTGATATATAACCAAGAAAATAACATGGGTAAAGTCTCATACATTCCTTTTAAATTAAACAGCCAGTTTTATTAATGCATGCACAGAACTAAACTGAAATAAACTCTGTCAAAAACCCTGTGCAAAATTTACATAACTCAGATACAAAAATATGTACAGATTTAACTTGTTATATACAAAAAAGCCCTGAAGTGTTCATACAATCAATGAAAATGTCACTAACACACTAAGTAACAATGTAACCAAATCATATGTCATAAGAGAATTCCATTAACCAATGATCCAACAAAATTGGGTCTAATTTTACAGAGTAAAAAGCTTAAATCTGTGATTCTATCGTCATGAAAACGTTCATTTTCAAACTCTGTTGGGCATGTCCCTTAGAAACTGTCTCCAAGTTTCATGTACTACCACTAAATCAACTGTTAATGCTTCCTTCCCCGTTTTCAAATGCCAACTATCAATGTTACCTGCATTGGGGTGGCAGTTAAGACTTGACGTTGCTAATTAAAACATTTTAATCCTGATTTGGACATGTTTAGAAAATAACACAGATCAAAATATTATCTACTTTGCTCATCTTGCTTCCAACTATTATTTCTGTAGAAAAAAAACTTTCATTTTCAAGAAAAGTCATCTCCTTCGAAGTGCTTCAATGTTGTACTTTTTAAAAGGTAGGCAAAAAAGAAATACACATTGATTCTACAGGGATCAACTTAAATAACATTGGGTTTACGGGAAAAACTGAAATCAAATATGCATAGTTCTGTGTAAGGGGATCACTGGAAAATGTAACATTCAGAAAAATGTTGACGAATTGAACTGGACCTCAAAGTAGACAAGAGCTTAATTTTTCTGGGCTAAAAATTACTGCAAAGCTTGACACAGCCATTTAGAAAATCACCTTGGGAGAGTGCTTCAATCTCTGACATGGATTACATCTTAACAAGAAAAAAGTATGATTTGTAAGGTACTTCTCAAGCAAGATACAACCATAGTGAATTAAATGTACTTTCAAAGGAATCTAAGATCCTTCAACAGAAGTGAAGTTAGCAAACATAACATAGTGAGAGTTCTTTACCTAAGCTTTCCATTTTCACAAATGATGAGATACTCTTTCAGTTCCATCCTGAAAGAGCTCTGCATCTTTAGAGGAGCATTATTCATCAGATTTGTAAGGCTGGTGGAAGAACAGAGAGGATGGGGCTGTCAGCCATAACCCTCTACTGAAAGTCACTGAACACCTAAACTGAGAAAACCTTCATCAAACTTTCCTTTAGCCCTAACTTGCAAGAACACCTCTTCAAGAAACTGGATCAAAGTACATCTGTGCTAGGATCAGTGTCTTTCAAAATGTATGTGCGCAGTGACAACATTTTCAAGTATCAGACATAAACTTTCGACTTCCACAGAAACATAACCAACTTCCAAAACCCTTAAATCCGGGTATTACATTAAAGTAGAAAATGCCTGCTTTGTAGTAATTCAACCTACTATTATCTTGTAAGGTACTGTTACTTTTCTTCTAACAAGTTCCAGTCCCGAGTAGCTTCCATTAAATGTCTCTGCCCATGACCAGCCCAAGCATCCTGATTGTCAAACACTCTACCACAAAACCAACAGCTAAATCTAGCCTTCAGAACATTCTCAGAGGTAGTTTTTACAATCTGGTAATTGTTTTTGCTTGTCTTTTTGAGTGTTAATTTTAGCACAAATCTTTCTTTTACCAAACTAACAGGTTTACATGTTTTGTGCCTCCTGAAAGAGTCATCATCAGTTATTCTAGAAGGACTACAACAAACTGGTTTAAGTAAAGCATCAATAGTTCTTTTTGACAATGACACCTTAACTACATGTCCATTAAATTTAGCAACAGTTTTCATTACATTGGCTACTTCTGGTGCATCTGCATCAGGATGATTCAAAACTACAACCGGCTGGTTTCTCCTAGGACATTTCACAAGCTGTTTGGAACTAAAAGGGGAAAGTCGCAAAATTCTCACAGAATCTTTTGGAAGTCTAGGTCTGGTAAGTCCCAGTGACTCACGCACACCTTCACCTTTAGTCTTTTCTTTACATTTTCGATGGAGTGTTGACTTTTTTCTTGCAGGTTCCAGGCAACTATCCCTACATTTTCGTTTACAGTTTCTGTTTCTGGATACAAAGGCAGTTTCAGAATCTTTACTATTCACAGTTTTTATTTCTGAGAAATTCGTTTTGGAAGTCTTCTTCCGACTGAAGCTTCTCCTACTTGCATAATTTGTTTTGTATCTTAATGCTCTGGCCTCTGAAGAATTACTGACACGTACTGGGTCCTCAGAAGTTACCACAATCTCATTTGCTGGCATCAAATCATCTTCTAAGAGGGGTAAGGCATCTCTAGAAGACTCTGGCTCTTTCTGCTCCCCTCCTACAGTCTGAGCAGATGATACACTGCCTTTTTGCAATGAGGCTGCAGAGTTACTCGCTTTCAGATTACTAGCAGCAGTCACATTTAAAACAGGGTTAAAAATCTTCAGCAGTATCTTTTGTGATGTTCCTTCGGGTTTCTTTGGCTGTATATTTTGATAGTAAGTACTATTTTGGATTAACTTAGGCTTCAGTAGCTCAGTTTTATTTGGCATCACACACTTTAAAAAAACAGCTTGTTTGCCATCAGGCAAGAGTGTATAAACAGGTTGTTTTGGAAAAATTTCACTCTGCTTTACAGGATCCAAGATGGTCAATTTTGTTCCTTGATGCTTAGTTACTCCATTAGGAACAGGAACAGCTTTCACTGAAGAATTTGCTGGTGTTTTAATAACATAAGGGCCTTTCAGAGTATTTTCTGAGCTACTTTTCCTACTCAAGCAACTGCCAATGCTGGAACAAAGTGCAGGTGTAAGACAATTATTGTTTTGTTCTACCTTTAACAGAGGTGTTTTGCAAGACTCCTTTGTCAAAGTTCCACAAGCCTGAGTATTCTCAGTTTTGATGGTGGAAATTCCTTCAAATTTCCCACTATTCAGTGTTAAAACCATTCCAGGTTTCTTGTTTAAAAGAAGAGAAGCAGGTACATTTTGTGTATTAACCAGTGGAAGTGATCTTCCTGATAGAATGTGTAATCCAGGCTTGCTAGCAACATGCAATGGTATAAACAAGCCTTTTGAAGTCTGAACAAATATAGCCTTCTTTTGTTCTGAGTTTAGAAGTGGGCTCTGCACATATAAAGAACTCGCATTTTGTGTAGTGGCTCGCAGTTTGTCTTTTACAAGCTGCTGTGTTATTATTGCATCTGACTGAGTCTTAAGTAACGTGCCAATACTTGAAATTCTAGGCATCTTCTCTGACTCTCTCAAATCCTGGGACACCGATAACATTGGCTTTTCCATTCCATTCCATTTCACATTCAGGTCACTTGTAGGCACATTAGCATCCACATTGTCAGATGGAGCCGTGAGGACGTCTTGTAGTTTGAAGTCAGTTGAAGGTTCAACTAGCTTGTCATCTCCCTCAAGTTTCTGAAATAATGGGTCGCAATGCTGCGATGGGCTTGTGTTTGTGAAATTAGGATCTTGTTTCAAATCTGGTTTTGCTTTTAATTCATCTTGAAGTAACTGATTTACTTCAGGGGGTAAAAATTCTGATGCCTGTTGGCTCTGGAGAGAGAAAACAGATGTGATTCTAGGCATCATAGGTGAATCCGCATTAGAAGTATCTTCCCACTGGGAATGCTCAGTCGTACTCTCTACATTCCCATTTTCATTAGTGTACTGGTTTTGTGCACCACTGGTTTGCACTTTTTCTAAAACACACTCATCCTCAATTTCGGCTTTTGTTTTTGAAGTCCCATCTTTACCATTCAAAAGGCTAACAGATGGTAAAAAACTATCTGCCTTTAAACTCTCCTTCCTCACAAGTGATAAAACTGATTCACTAATTGGCTGTTGAACAACTGCATTGTTTGAGAAAGATTCTCTTTGAGGGTTTTCAAACATTACCATTCCAGACAACCTACGAGGTTTAGAGTTATTTACTTTGGAGTAATTATGAAAAGGCAATGATCCTTGGTTGGAGGATTCAACAGTTAACTCAGGATTGACGTGATTAATGCAGTAGTTATGCATATCTCCATTGTTGTATGCATTTGGTTTGGCAGTACAGTTGCTTTTATCTGGACTTTTAATGGGAGTATCTAACACTTCTGAGGGACTTTGAGTGACAGGGTTTTCCCACAGAACATGATCTCTTGTTTCAGCTTTCATGGTCAAATTCACTGAATCTGTAACCAATTCGGATGTTGCTGATGAGGAAGACACATTTTTTTCAAAATCTACTGCTGGAAGCATGTTATTTTTTTGAGATACAAAAGCCATTTCTTTTTCTGAAGTTGTGTTTCCTGAAATTGGAGTTGGCTTCATAACTGTGTCACTTAACTCTGTTGTCATTCCTGTTGAAAAACCAGGAGTGTCCAAACTTTGAGGCTGCAAATTAGCATTACTGTCCTTTGCAGCATCCATCTGTAAGCCCGGTGAACACAAATTCTGTTTATTGGTAGGCAACAGTTTTATTACAATATGCTGCTTTCCATCTACCATCTTGAAACCCATAAACTTGGCATTAAAGTTAGCAGGAACCGTTATTTTATTGTTTTTCACCATTAACAATGTAGGTCCTTGTACAGCAGGCTTCAAGAAACCTAAAGTAGCATGTGCCCCCTCTTCAGTCCTCTGACACTGCCCAGTGGACAGGAGAGCTGGCTTCACTGACTCTAACTCAGTGGGCTTACCATTCTCACACGGTAGTCTTTCATTGCTGACTTCATTCAAATGCTCTTGAGCAAGACAGCTTTGATTTTCAGATGTAGTTTGTGTTCCGTTCATTTTTGTAAGCACCTGAGTGTTTTTTTCTTTGCTTCTGTCCCTTTCATTGTTAATTTTCTTACGTTTCCATAATGTTTTCCTGGATGCACCTATTTTGTATCTTTTCAAAATTAACTTAAGTCCAGCTGAAGTCTTAGACACCCTTTTTTCATATTTGTCTTTTTCCAATTTTTCTTTTGCATATAAATGTTCTTGGTGCAAAGTTATAAGGTATTCTCTCCTGCTGGTACCGTAACTGCAACACTGACAAGCATAGGGGAAAGTGCCAGAGTGAAGATGAAGGTGTTTCTGAAGCTCTCCTTTGGTAAAGCACACATGATGGCATTTGTCACATTTATAACGGATTTCATTGTGTCTATGAATGTGCTGAACAAATGTGCCCACATCCTGTGTAGAGAATTTGCACTTTTCACATTGAAAGCTACCATTCACACAATGTGTAGAAGTGAAATGCTTTGTCAAATCCAATAATGTGTACAAATTCTCATTGTTACAAATTTCACATTTTACTAAAGTGCTCCTATGGGTTCTCCTGTGTTGTTTAAAAACCTGGAAATCATTTGCTGAAAAACTGCACATTTCACAAGGATAGGAAGGCAATTCACCTTGGTGCCACATTTGAAAGTGTTTCTGCAAATCATTTGGGCTGTACTGAGTGCTATCTTGACATTTTGAACAGCTGAAATTGAGTATTTTTGCAATCATTTTGACATTCTCTTCTTCAGCTTCCTCAGGCTTGTGAAGCACAATAGACTCTTCTGCACATCTTACAGTCTTCAAGCCTACAGATTTTCTTGCAGTTTTTCTTGCAGTTTGTGATTTACTCGGAAATAACTTTCTGTATTTGTCAACATCATGTTTCAATAGGACTTTATTTGGAATATTTATCCTCGGCAAATGAATTTTCACATTCTTTAATCCAAAATGAGAATTATTTTCTGAAAAGTTTGGCTTAGGTACTGATTTGGTAGTATCCACTATTTCATTTGTCACATCATAATCCTTTTGAAAAGCAGCTGGTTTTTCATCAAAAAGTAACTGTCTCTGATCAGATGGCATGATTTGAAAAATTTCCTTTTTCAGAAAATTCTTCAAGTTAGTTTTAATTTAACTGGGACACAATACCGTATTCAGAAACATGAAGATATTTTCCACATGAACTCACCTAAAATTAAAAAAAAAATTTAATTTTCATCATAAAAGCAATAGCAAATTCCACATCTTTATGTCTATTCTAGCACAATGTAGAAATGTTATTCAAACATGTAAAGAAACAAAAGAATTGCAAAGTATTTTAAAAACAGCTTACCAAGAAGTAATAGTTTGAAGAAAAATAACACTAATCTGGAAGTCAAAAAAAAAGCAAGCTCTAGGTCCAGCTCTTCAAAACTACATTGGGACAGCTTCAACTTCTCTTCAGTTTCCTCATCTAAACAAACAAACAAACAAAAACATAATTGGATAAGTAACCACAAGCTCTAAAAGGTTTCCATTAAGATGCCACTATAGCTTTTAGCAAAACTTTAGAAGTCAGTTCATGCATGCATATATGTTAGTGCACGGAGTCAAGCCTCCACTTGCAACGCTTGTATCCCACACCTGAGAGCAAACATGAGTCCCAACTGTTTTAATTCTGATCCAGCTTCCTGCTGAAGTACCTACAGAAGATAGCACAAGTCATTGAGTTCCTGCCTCCCATGTGGAAGAACTGCATGGAGTTTCTGCCTCCTGGCTCCTGGCTCTAGCTTGGCCCAACCCAAGCTACTGTAGATGTTTCATGAGTGAACCAGTAGATGAAATACATTATCCCTCACTCTCGCTCTGCCTTTCACTTTCTAAAAATTTTCATAGGAAAGCTCCAATTACATACAAGTTTTACCATGTAATGATAAACATCTTATTTGCTTAGATGACTCTACCGTGAGAACACCAATCGAATTTTCTCCAGATTTTCTATTTCCTTAGGGATAATCTGAATTTAAAATAAAAGCTTTGGCAAGCATTTGGTCTAGCAGTTAGACCAGGTCCTGAGCTCAAGGCCAGGCTCTAGCCCCAACTGAGTGAATGTTGCAACATGATGGTGATGGCTTCAGCATCCCCAACAGGAGCGAAACAGTTTGCATTCCTGGCTCCGAGATTAGCAGGTGGGGGGAAGGAGAATTACGAAGTTGCAGGTGGGAGCTATCTCTCAAACAAGACTTTTATGAAATAAAGAAAAGCTGCATACATTTAACAAACACGGGGGGGAAAAACCCTGCTCTCTTCGATTACTGTTAATGCTGAAAAAAATAAGCTAGTAATTTTGGATTATCCATGTCCAACCTTTCCTATTGTTATCTATTAAGAAAAGGACTGACATAGTTGTTTATTATAGAAACATCACAGGTCCAAAAGTAATTTGTGTAGTGTTAAAAATTATATAGACTTTACTATTTCTAAATAAAATTTCACTTCAAAATATCAACATAATTAAAACTCTTTCTCATGAAATAACATATCCCAAAGTATAAAAATAGGTTCGAACCAAGTTAAAAGCAGAACTTCAATTCCACCAACTCACATTTACTAATAAATACCTACTCTTTACATGTGAGGCATCTTGACAGGTGCTATGGAAGGACTTAAAGACTTAGTTCTAGGGCAGACATTTACTTGGGCTCCCCATATTCTGTAGCATAGTGCCTGCGTTCTGGTCCTACTTCTGCTTCTGATATACCTTCCTGCTAATGTCCACTCCAGGAGACTCCAGCAAGTAATGGTTCAAGTACCTTGGTTCCCTCTCACCCCACTTGGGAGACCTGGAATTCCAGCCTTCTGGTTTTGGCCTGGTTCAACCCTGGCAGTTGGCAGACACCTGGCAAATGAACAAGTGGATAGAAGATCTCTGTCTCCATGGCTTTCAAATAAATGGAAATAAATAAAAACTATTTCAAATTACAAACACACACACACAGTTTTCAGAAGATAGGATATATGCATTAACACACTGCTTACTCAGCTGACCATTTAGCAATCTCTCTCCTTCTATTATAATCAAGAAATACAAAATAATTATGTAGAACATGCAGCAGCCATGACAAAGATCATTGAGCTCATTCACTGAAGTCTGTTTCCTTTCCTCAATGGCAAGCTCCATCTAGTGTCAGGCACAACAAAGTTCACCCACTAGCAGACATGCCCTTTCCTCACAGACAAGCCCTGTATATTCTCAGGCAGAGCTTACCATATCCCTAACAACATAAATGAATTTGTTTGGTTTCAGTTCTTAGCAAATGCAGGTGATTACAAGTCCCTTAACAAGAAGAGAGTAAAAATACCTCTAAAAGGCAGACAAGATAGGGTCTTACTTATATGAACTAACCAGGGAACACAGCAAATGCTTAACGAATACTGGGTCTTTTTTAGGGGCAACCAAAATATTTTATAACTTGATAGAAGTAATAGGCACACAATTTTGTGAATTCACTAAATGCCAGTAAAGAGCACATGAGAGCTGGAGACACAGGATGATCCTCCAGGAAGAAAAATCAGTGTACATGAGGGAATGGATACATGAACACAAAAACAACATTTCTGTTTATTCTTATATGAACAGGATACTGTATGTAACATTTTAAATATTTTTTTAAATGTTTACTGTTATTTTCACCTGCTGGTTAACTTTCTAAATGCCCCCAACAGCCACAGCCAGTGGGCAAGATCAAAACCAGGAGCCAGGAACTCCACCTGACATTATCACATGGGGAGCAAGCATGAGTCCAAGTACTTGAGCCACCATCTGCTCTTCCCAGAATCCATTAGTAGGAAGCTGAATTGGAAGCAAAGTAGCTAGGACTAAAACTAGCATTCAAATATTGAATGCAGGTGTCCCAAGTAGCAGCTTAATATACTGTGTCACAATGCCCACTTCAATACATAAACTTCTACAGTTTGATTTTTAAATCAAGGAGCTCCTTCCATGCCAGTTCATGTAAATATAACTCACCTTTTTCATTGATTAGAGGGTTTAATACCACTGACACATCAATGGCTAATTTAATCATAAATTCACTGACCTGCAATCAGAAAAACATTCTTATATATAACATTCTAATCTCATACACACTAACAGGTAATCTAATCATAAATTTGCTGATTTGCAATCAGAAAAGTATTCTAATATATATATCAGAATATTTTACATAATGTAAGATGTCTGGGTAAGGAAATGCTCTTGTGAGAAGAGTGAAATCCTGATCCACTTCTCATGACCAGTTTTTCTAAGATTTTTAAAATTTATTTGAAAGTCAGAAATACAGGGAGAGAACATCTCCCACCCACTGGGTTACTGTCCAGATGGCCTCAATGGTCAGAGCTGAATCAGACCAAAGCCAGAAGCCAGGACTTCCATATGAGTGGCAAGGACCAAAGGAACCCTTGGGCCATCTTCTACTGTTTTTCCCAGGCCACTGGCTAGGAGATGAATTAGAAGTGGAGGATGCAGGACACCAATGCCCAGAGGTTGCCAGCACTACAAGGTAGCAGCTCAACCTGCCAACTACAACACCAGCCTCACAATTACCATTTCTAAAGATGTATACCTGACCTGGGACATTCAATCAACTACTTTTAAGTGAACACCTATTTATTATGGCCTAAGTAAGGCAATGAATGACACAATCCTGCCCATTTCTTCCCCTAAACATACCTTAACAGATGAATGAGGATCGAGTGGAGGGATCGGGTGAAGGCTTTGGACGACAGAAGGCTCAGGTTGAGGTATGGGGAGAAAGGGAACAATTCCACAGCTTTGAACTTGGTCCAGAGGTCGGACAGAACAGAGAGATGCTAGCACCAACTATCAAGAGAAATGTTAACAAAAATTACTTCTGAACAAACATCAATCTTCCCACACACATGGCTAGGTTCTTCTGCATAAGAGTTCCATATAAAAGTGTTCAGAAGTGATTACTGGTTATCTTTAGCTCAGAATTTCATACAATTTTGTCCTTGGACAACTCTAGTTGTCCTTATAAGAGTTACTCCTTATCACAACATAAGAAAATGGCTTACATTTGAATGTTATGAAAACAGAGGGCTCTTTGCCTCCAGACCATACTTTTATAAACAGTCATGAATCCATGAAAATTCTGAAATTCTCAAAGCAAGCAACTCCTTACAATAAGCCAACTAATTTTTTTTGAATCAACTCAAAATAATATACTTGATGTCAACATAAAACTAATGAGAACTGGCACTAACAGAAAAGATCAAGGCAAAACAAATAACATTCCACATCACATTCCCCACAACACACATGGGTCCCACTTCACAGAAAATATCAGTTTCAAAATGACAGTAAATACAATACTCAAAGGCAAACAACATTTTGCTATAGTATGCCATTCAAGCCAGCTCAGTTCAATCAGTAAAGAAAATGTTCTGTACTTGTTCACTTAGTGAATAACTTTTGAGGTATAATTTAAAAATAAGCAGCAGCACCATCAGAATTAAAATTATATATGTAGTGACAGCAGTGCCTAAATTAAATACCATATATTTTATATAGAAAATAAATAGTATTCAACTAATAATATACTTTCTGATCTTGGTATATTATTGGAAGGAAAAGGAGAAGACTCTTGGCCCAGCACTTAAGAGGTCTCTGGGGATGCTTGCATACCATATCAGAATGCCTCGCTTCAAGCTTTGGTTCTACTTCTGAGCCTACTTCCTGTCAATGCACACCCCAGGAAGCAGAACGTGACAATTCGAGCACCTGCACCTCTGCCACCCATGTGGACAACCTGAATGAAGTTCTGGACTCCGGGTTACAGTCTGACCTAGACCTGGCCAACTGCAGAGTGGACCAGCCAATGGAAGTTGACGTGTCTGCCTACATCTGTCTCTACCTCCACCCCTGTGCCTTTCAAACAAAAATGCAAAGGATACTAAAAATTATAGCACTAATTTAACTATCTTTTTTTCTGTATAGGTTGCAAAGAAACGAATGGCAAGTATAATGCTGAGTGTATTATTCTTCAACAAAATGTTGGATTTGATCTGACAAACTCACTTGGAATTTTCTTGTGTTACCTTTAACAGATTTGCCGCATTGTTTCTCCTCTCTGAATCTTCCTTTCCAATAAAAAATAAATCTTAAAAAATAGTTTTAGCGTGTTACTACAGAGAATCTGTAAAAGAAGGGGGAGAATATCTTCTACCACATCACCTGCTTTGGACTTGTCCACTAACTACATTATCTTCTTAAACTACAGAAGCCACACTGAAAGCACCACCATATGGCCTAGCAACTCTAGATTTTAGCTCTTGTACTTGCTGTAAGCTCCTCTGTAGCGTCAGGGCCTCCAAGCTTCCTGCTGCTTGGGTCACCTTGGTAATTTATACTTTCCTCAAAAGACAACCAATGTAGCATATTCCTATAATTAGCTTCATTTTAAGAATGTAGTCTACTTAAAGGATAACATACAAATGTGAGTATAAGTGCCACTTAAATGTCCATAAACTCTATAAAGTGAATTATAGAACATCCACATGAAAATACTGCTGTAACCTTGAAAATTATTTATTGTGAATTTATTTTTATTTTCTAAAAAGGGAAGTTGCAATTTAAGACACATGAAAAATGTTTACATTAGAAGGGTAGAGCTTTTTCTGTCTTTTCTAAGTTAACAGAAAAATTCTGTGTAAATATATTTGTAAAGAGAAGAAAATACTCTCCAAACGACTGAGAAGTTTCTTTTTAAAGGAATCAGAGCACAACATAGCAAATAACACTCACATCAAACGACAGAAAAAGACTCCTCAGCCTTCTCAAGTCCAGGAGCTCCGACTGAGATCAAGAGGACAGCGTCACTACCCAGAAACCTTCACTGAAGCCTGGCTGTACACTTCCTTCTTTGAATATCAGGAAATCCTTAAGGCGCTCACGTGGGTTTCAACTTGTAGCCAGAGGCTCCTACTGAAGACAAAGCTGACGGATCACTACTGACCATCACGTCACAGAAAGGCAGGCTTTGTGATGATCCTTTGAAAAGCAGTAGGACTTAATCATGTAAAAAAGCAACAAAGGCAATCTAGACCAGAAAAAACACAATGAACAAACCGATTCAAAGGCAAGAAAGGCATGTTCCTCCTAAGGAACTGTAGTCCAGATCACAGGGAAATGCAAAAAGGGGAAGGTAAGAACAGACCTGAAGTCCACATAAAAGGGAACCAGGAGAGACTGTTAGTTTATAAACAGACAGGAAGTTGCAAAAGCAGTATTTCAGAAATAACATTAGAATGGCATAAGAAGGCAAGATAAATTAGAGAAAAGAGAAAAAACAGGTAAGAAAACTAAAAGACTAGAGTGGCCTCCCAATAAAAGCATGGAAACAGGGAAGTAGCAATTAGTCTAGAGGAACACAGGTTAGGAATCACACACTGGACACAGAGAAAATGCACAAGTGAAACGCCAAAGACAAGGAAGACGAGCGAAACAAAAATTACTATTTCTGGCAAAAAGGCAGTCCACAGCCTAAACAAGGAGGGATCCAAGTGCTTCCGCTTCCTGTTGCTGAGACTCTGAAGACCTCAAACTGGGCTTAGCTTAGCGCACTTGAAACTCAGCATGCACACTGTACAGCTCATGCCATAACACTGCACAAATATAAAATATCATCTTCCTAACAACTGCATTCCTTGAGCAAAAATAATTAAGTGCCAAACAGTTATGTCAGTTAATGACTGGTGAGTAAAACATAAACAAAAAGGCAGCAGAAGGCAGAAAAAGCCTACTGAAAAAACGAAGCTTCTGTCTAGAAGGAATAAAGCATGCAAACAAAAATCTAAGACTAGTATTTTCTAAGAAATACCTACTTTAATGCCCTCACAATTAACTATTACCTTGTGAAGACTCGGATCACACCATTTTGGATTTTTTTTTAAGTTCACCTGAGGAACTAATGTCTATCACATTTCAAATGAACAAAAGAGGACGTTTTGTAGAATTTACACACATATAAGCAAAACCAGTTCTGTTCACATAGTGAACTAATGAGTATGCCATAAGCATAAAAAATACAAATGTAGGACCAAGTATGCAAATGAAATGAAGTACACATCTAGAAATGTTTAAAGAGCTCAAGTATAAGAAAGCCATTTGTACACCTGTGACACACGCAGTTCCAGGCTCAGGTAAACCTCACCACTCTGAAACTATGACTTCTCGCTATTTCCACTGTAAAGATGACTGCTTACACTTAAAACACCTTTATTTACCTCGAGTCATACCATTTCCGCTCAGTACTCATGTCATTCTCCCCGCTTACCGTGGACCTAATTTCAATCCTGGTCAAACTAACATTGGGAACATAAGTACCTAACACATTTCTAAAGAATTCATTCTTCTATTTTCAACTCAAATTATCGTACTGTCACTTCAGATTAAATAACTTTGCACCAGACTTCAGAGATCAGGTCAACTCTTTACTTGTAATAATCTGGAGTTGGTTGCAAATACACAGAGAAATCCCATTTTTAATATATAAGAATCAGAAAAATCGAGTATCTTAAGTAAAATGAAGACCACTGAATTCAGTATGTGAACAAGAAAAGCTATTTTCATTTCCTGCTCCTTGAATCTTTTGTTGTCGCTATGCTGTGGCAGTGACTGCAAATTAGTGAATGAATTTTGGAAGATATGAAAGGAAAAAAGACAATCAAAACATGTACTGCCACCTAATTGGGAGAATGGATCAACCCTTTAGCCATTCCCCCTCAGCTTTCCAACATGACGTAAACTGCTTCACTTCCCAACAAACTGCTTCCCTTTGCTCCGTTATCCACGCAGTGTCTAACTCCACGATCAGAAATCCTGCCCTCCAGAACCTCCGACTTCAGCATGTGCCCCAGGGTTCATCCAGTTCTCAAACCCGAATCTAAGAATCATTCCTGAGTCTATTTTGCTTAACACCACATTAACTGGAAAGCAAGTCTGGCCAATTCTCAGAGCAGTTCCTGTTTTCTCCTCTTAGTGGCTGACATCATGGTAGTCTAACTTGAATTAAAATGTTAACAGTCTTCCGAACTGACATTCTTGCTTCCCTCCTGCCCCCTAACCTCCTCTGAGTCCATTCCCCACACAGAAGCAAGAGTTTTCTTAATATAAAATAGATCACAGGACTGACACTATGGTATACTAGATTAAACTCCTGTCTGCAGTGCCAGCACTCCATATGAGCACCAGTTCAAGTCCTGATTGCTCCATTTTGATCAGCTCCCTGCCAATCTGCCTAGGAAGGGAGAGAAGGATAGCACAAGTCCTTGGGTCCCTGCACCAATGTGAGAGACTAGAAGAATCTCCAGGATCCTGACTTCAGAATGGCTCAGCTCCAGCTACTGAAACCATCTGCACAGTGAACCAGTGGATGCAGGGGTGTGTGTGTGTGTGTAAATATGCCTTTCAAGGGTCTGACATGGTAGCCTAACAGCTACCTTGCCTTGGGATCCCATATGGACACCACGATCCCATTTGGCTGCCAGTTTGAAGCCCAGCAGCCCTGCTTCTCATCCAGCTCCCTCTTATGTCCTGGGAAAGCAGTGGAGGATGCCCAAAGCCTTGGGACCCTGCACCCATGTGGGAGACCTGGAAGAGGCTCCTGGCTCCTGGCTTCAGATCGACACAGCTCCAGCCATTGTGGCGGCTCAGGGAGTGAATCATCAGATGGAAGATCTTCCTCTCTATCTCTCCTCCTCTCTGTATGTCTGATTTTACAATAAAAGTAAAATAAATCTTTTAAAAATTATGCCTTTCAAATTAAAAAAATAAAACTTAAAAAAAAATAGGTCACAACAGTTCCCACTTAAAACTCTTCAGTGGTTTTTCAAGTGTCTCAGTTCATGCAGGTACTCGCACAAGCTACTATAATCTGAGCAGCTTACAAACAATAGAAATTTCTCTCTCAGATCTGGAAAGAGCAATCCAGACTCACAGAGCAAATAGATTCAGGGTCTTACATGGTTCCTTGCTAACACTGTGGTTCCTCCATGGCTATCTTCTCCCTGCACCTTCACATGGCAAGAGGGGGTGAGGGAGCTCTCAGTGGCCTCTCCAATCAAGGCTCTCATCCCATTTATGAGATCTCTATCTTCCCAAAAGCCTCACCTGTACTGGCATCACACTGGGGATTAGGTTTCCAGACACGAATGTGAAGGTGGGGAGAAGAGGCTAAAACAGGGCTAAAGAACAAAGGCTGTAGAAATATATCTATAAAATTTTCTATCCCCATGAAGGTCCTGGGTAACAGTTATTCGTGGTCCTGGTTCTCTCTTCAACTTCATCTTACATCACTCTCTCCATCTGTAATACACTCCAATCAACTGCCATGGTCCCTGAGCTCCTCAAAGATTCCCTTCCTGGATCTCGGGCCTTGCATCTACCACCTGCTGCCTGGACTGTGTGCTGCATTCTTCAAACAGCTACGCCTTTTTGCCTTTCAGGTCTCTCGGTTCATGCATTACCTCAGAAAGGTCTTCCCCAACCTATTAACCATCCCCCGCTCAAAAACAGAAAAATTTCTTCTCTACTTTACCCTTCTGCATTTCTTTTTACAAAACATTTATTTTATTTGTCAATTTATTCTCTGTGTCTGCCACTAGAATATAAGCCGTGTTAACATTTACTATGTTCTTTGCTGTACCACCAACACTGGCCTAGTGTTGGGCTTCAAGCTACAACCAAACCTGTGTCAGTCTTTGTTCTAAGTTTTGAGAGCCTATCAATGAGCAAGGGAGGGAGGGGGAAGGAAAGAGAGAGAGGAAGAGAGAGAGAGAACTCCACTTTAGATCCAACATTCTAAGTAAATAACAAATGATACTGCATTTTCAAGAGACAGTAGCAGAGAAAAACAAAATAGAGAGCAAAAGGCAAAATCAGAATGCTACAATTTAAAATGAGATCTTACTTGAAAGGATCTTAGTGATTCTATCATTTAAAGAATTGGGGGAATTAGTATTTCAGAAAACAAAACACAAGCAAGAGAGTAAGGGCCAAGGAGCCTGGCTGTGAGGTACATCTCACACTGGGGATTAGTAAAAAGGGCATCAGTATGGCTAGAACAGAACACGTAAGAGGGAAAACAGTAGAATAATATCAAAGAAGCAAGAGGACAGAAACAGGGCCAGATGGATATTGTACAACTCTGGCTTGACTCTAAATGAGATGGGAAACTACTAAAACATTTTAGGCAGACAGAACGAGCTGAATTACTCTGTAAAGAGATCATTTTGCTGTGTTCAAAACTAGAATATTTGAGAGGACTATAAGAGCACAAATAAGTGACCAACTCAGAAGTTATTATACTGTAACTATCCAGGTAAGAGACCTTGGTGGCTGGGTCAGCACTGTGGTACAGGGAGTAAAGCTGCCAACTATGCTGCCAGCATCCCACATGGATGCCAGTTTCAGCCCAGCTGCTACATTTCTAATCCAACTCCCTGCTAATATACCTGGGAAAGCAGCAGAAAATAGCTCAAGCCTTTGGCCCCCGGCACCCATGTGGGAGACCTGGAAGAAGCTCCTAACTCCTGGCTTAGCACTGGCTCAGTTCCGGCCACTGCAGCCATTTGGGGGCATGAATCAGTGCATGGAAATTCTCTCTCCTTCACTCACTGTAACTCTGCCTTTCAAATAAATAAAATCTTTTTAAAGAAAGAGCGAGAAAATGATGGTGTGGTGGAAAAACGAGTCATAGCCTAATGCCAAATATATTTTGAAGACAGAGACTACAAAACTTGTTTATAGCTTTCCCTGAGAGAAACAAGTATGTCAACAACAACCAACAGTTCTGACCTCAGCAACTGGAAGAACTGAGTTGTTACTTACTAAAAAAAAAAAAAGCTGTGTGAAAGTAAGGAAGTATATCAAATGTGTAATTCTTTAGGCTTTTAAAATCTGAGCCATTTGACAGTGAAGTGGAAATGAGGAATGTGTACTCAATCCAGAATATAGAGATGTAGGTCAAAGATAAGATTCTGGGAGTCACCAGTATGTGATTATATGAACACACTTGAAACAGGATGAAATAACCAAAGACAGAAGTCAAGGCCTAGATCTCTAGATGCAGCATTCACAACAAAGAGATGAGAAAGAACCAGCAAGCCAGAGTGGAATGACCAATGGGGCTGAAAATAAATATGGAACATGCTGCCTGAAAGCAAAGTGAGGAAAATGCTTCCAGGATGACACTCAACTCTAATGAACAGGGAGACCAAGCAACCCGTGGACTTAATGTCCAGATCCCTGGAGAAACTGATTAGAGCTGATTCAGCAGAGTTACAGAGGAAAAAAGCTACGACAGGTTAAACAGAAAACAGGAAGAAAAACAGATGCATTACAAATAATTCTTCCAAGGTTTCTTTTTAATGTTCATTTATTTATTTTCATTTTGAAAGGCACAGAAAGGGATAAAAACAAAGAACATAGATGGATCTTCCATTTGTTGGCCCACTCCCCTAAGCAGCTGTCAAGCTATATTAGGCCAGGCTGAAACCAGGAGCCAAGAATTCCATTTGGGTCTCCCACATGAGGGACTATGACCCAAACACAACTGAGCCATCATCTGCCACTTCCCAGGATGCATTAGCAAGAAGTTCAGGGGGGAGTAGAGGAGCCAAGACTAAACTAGCATTCCAATATGGGTTTGCAAGTGGCTCAAGCAGCAGTTTAACCAGCTGCACTACACTACCCACCTCTCTAAGAAGTTTGACCATAAATGATCAAAAAGTAGAGGAATTGAAATGGGTTATTTACTGCTTTTAGTAAAT